AAATGGGATGAGAAGGAACTTGTCACTGTACATTCTTACACATAACCCTTTCCAAAGATAACAATAACCACTTATCACTTAATCACTTAACTTCCCGTTAGTCGTCGATTTGCTCGAGCGGGCACCAGTAACGTCTCCATTTGTCCCTGTCGCGTGCTAGTGTAGCCCAATGGCATCTGTTCGCTCTGGGAACATGAAGAGCCTCAAACCGATAGTTCATGATCTTGACGAAGAAGTCTGACCATCTGGTAGGTGGGCGGCCATGCGGTCTTTTGACATCCCATGGAATCCAGTCAGTAACAGCTCTAGTTCAGCGGTTGTCTTTAAATCTCATTATGTGACCAGCCCATCTGATTTTTGACACCTTGGCAAATGAGACAGCGTCCCCTGATTCTTGATCGTTGACAGATGTCGGAACTCTGGATTCTTTCTCTCATTTGAGTGAAACGTGATATTCCAAGCATAGCTCTTTCTATTCTTCTTTGGGAGACCTGAATAGCTTTCTCATCCTGTTTGTATAGGGCCCAGGTCTCTGAGGCATATGTTAATGCAGGAAGAACAGTGGAATCAAAGAGATGTGCCTGGAGCCGGAGGTTCTTCATCCTCTTAGCTATTTCTTCGATGTTCTTGAAGGCATTCCAAGCCGCTCTCTTCCTCCTGCGCAGCTCGGGTGCCAGGTCATTTGTCATGTTGACTTCTCGACCTAGGTACACATAGCTGTTGCATTCGGAGATGGTCGTTCCGTTGAGAGCAAATGGGGCGTCAGGAACGAGGCTGTTTCTCATAAACATTGTCTTCGTAAGATTCAGCTGTAGTCCTACCTATCCACACTCACGGTTTAAGTCGGCCAGCATTTGTGCCGCTTGGCTGATGTTTGGTGTTATTAAAACAATGTCATCAGCAAAGCAGAGGTGGTGTAGTTGCCGACCATCTATCTTCACTCCCATTCCAATCGTCGCATGATGTTCTCGAGGGTGGCACAGAAGAGTTTCGGTGAAATGGTATCACCCTGCCGAACCCCTCTCTTGACATCAACGATCACTTCTTTGTAGAATGGTGAGATCCTGGTAATGAATCCGCAATACAGCTCACGGAGGATCTTGATGTATTGGGCTTGAATGCCCTGATTGGCTAGGGCTTCAATGACCGCTTCCTCTCAAACAGAATCAAAGGCCTTCTTTAAATCAATGAACGTTAAACAGAGCGGCATCTTGAACTCCCGAGAAACCTCAATGAGCTTGGTTTTCGTGTGGATATGGTCAATGGTGCTGAATCCTTTGCGGAACCCGGCTTGCTCGCATGGTTGTCCTTCATCTAGTGTTCTGCCAATCCTATTTAGGATGACTCGAGTGAACAACTTGTAGATGACAGACAATAGGCAGATCGGGCGATAGTTGCCAATGTCATGGATGTCTCCCTTCTTGAACAGTAGTACGGTCCTGCTGGTTTTCCATTGGGATGGAACCTTGCATTCAGACAGGTAGCGAGTGAAGAGCCAAGCCAGTGTATTGATGAGTACTTATGGCAGGTTCTTCAGGTGTTCAGGTCTGACCTTGTCTGGGCCGGGTGCTGTTTCTTTACCGACGAAAAGGCGTGTCGGATTTCGGAAGGGAGAACATTGGGAACGACATATCCATTTTAAAGGAACGACATCCATTTTAAAGGAAGACCAATGGAAAAATTACAAAACGTTTAATCCTATATATGAGAAAAACAGCTACTGACAACTACCAATCATTGTTAATAAAATGCCTAATTTTAAAATTGTAATATTTACACAATAAAATTTAAGTCACTTATACAATTATCCAATCTTTGAAATTGTGTTTTAGTAAAGTTTCAAAACAAGTACAGTTGATCATACTAATAATTCAAATACTGCACAAACATAAAATGTTTCACATTTCTTGGCATGTTCTAGGAATGTTCATATACTTAATGATGACTGCTGTATACAAATGTGAAGTTAAAAAAAAAAGACCTCTCCTCCCCATCCCATTGGGGCAGGACTCCTGCATCCACTGGTCTTTCATGGTACTCAGGAAGAATGAGGTAGGAGAATGCAGCCTGGCAGTTAGAAGGCCCAAATGAGAGGAAACAGGTCCTTTAAGATCAAGGTCCACATCTGGAGAAGAGACTACCAGAGAGTGAGCACTTTTAGTAGTAACTTCACCATCTCCAGTTTTATTTGACTATATTATTCTCCTTTTCTTCAGTTTTTTCACCAGAGAATCAATTTTCTCCATCAAAATTGACTTGGCCCTCATCACCTTTATTTTAAGTGTCTGAAAAATGGCTCTATTTAATGCCTCTCTTGTCTGGCATTCTCTAAGGCTGTCTTGATCCCGGGTATACAACTTTATCGATGAGTTGGCATTTGTCCTCAGTCAGTGCAACCAGTGTTTTTGCAACCTGCTTTTCACGTCTTACATAAAGTTGATTGCAGACTGAAGATAAGTAACAGACCACCAATAAGCTAAGGACAGGACACACTGCTCTCTCACACCAGCTGCTGTGAAAAGTGTATTGAGGATTCGGATCACTAGGAGCAATTCAACGGGCTGTCCAGAGCAATAAAGCACAGAGGAAGGCAGCCTATTCCGCATTTACTGCCATGCTGGTATGTAATGATAGATACACCAGCCACAACCAAACCCAAGGAGCACTCCAACAGTCTGTCTGGAATTTAACCAGTAATTGGCATCCTGGATCAGTCAGTTACATAATTGTGGTAGGAAGAAATCTGCACACAAAATGTGACGCTACCAGTAATTATGGTCATTTTTCTGCCTTATCTAAAACATAACATTTAGTGACTGTTTCAATGTGAGTATAACTTGACTGATCTTTAACATTTCTAGCCCAAAAAGGTAGTCAAAAACTAATAATGTAAGCTTACATCAACTAACACAGAAAATATTTCTCTGCAACAATTGGAGCCCACTCACCTTCATTATATCTGTTTTCATTCCTATTCTCACCCACCAGCTTGGCAGTGGCCAATTATGTAAACTACATCCTTTTGTTTTATGGGACACACCAGAAGTGCTTGAAGGCTTCTCCTGGATTGTTTCAAGTGGTGCTTTGGGGACCATGGGAATTAAACTTGGGTTGGCCACATATCTTACTGTATACTTTGATTTCTATCTTGTGCCAAGTAATGCTTTTAAGACTCCAATTTTCATGTGACTAAGTTCATAAGCATACTTTAGGGTTGAATACTTTGTCCTTATTAAAACTATCACAAAAATATAATCCTATTTTCTTAATAATGAACACTTGGGCTAGTTCAAGTGGAGTACTATGAATGTTGTATTTACTCACATGCCTTTTAAAAATCATTTTTAAAAAATATTCTATATGTAACTTAAAATATCAAGTGGTTATGTGGAGAAGGAAGTTGGATAAAGAACTGAAAACATCTGGAATTCATCAAACAGGTAAGATACTGAAGAATAAGAATAAGTCAAAATCTATGCAAGAACTCCAAGAGGTAAACACAGCATTCAACACTTTTCTGTGTAAAGAACACTTGCCACATCTAAAGGAATAAAACTGCAATAACAGTACTTCAGCACTTTCATAGGCTTCAAAGGCCAACACCACTTCTCTGTCTACCCTCGCCAGCAAAGGGATCAGCATAAAGGGCTCCTCTCGTTATGCTGAACCCCTCAAGAGCTACATGCTTATTATACAGGTCCTGGCTGGACTTCAAATACGTCTTCTGAGTCATTCAGAAAACCTAAGGCATGAATTCAAGAAATTCGAGGTGGGGGGCAGGAGCAGGTACAGCAGGTAGGGTTGTGCCTTGCATATGGCTAACCCGGGTTCAATCCCTGGCACCCTATATGGTGCTCCAAGCACTACAATGAATGATTCCTGAGTGCAGAAGCAGGAGTAACTCCTGAGCATTGGTGGATGTGCCACCCCGCTGCCATCACCCCAAAAAGGAAATACTAGGTAGAATAGCTCAGAGGGATAGAATATATATATAACACTGAGTCTGTCCCTGGTACTACCCTCTCCCTCCCTCACCCAGCATGACTGGAGGTGCCTAGCACCTCTGAGAAGCAGCACTACATCACCAGACCCAAGCACTAAATGAACCATCAGGCCTCAGGGTTTTATCACTGCAAGTGGCCCAAGTGTACCCTGTGTGCAGCTTGGGAGGTTCCTATGGGGGGGGGGGGGGGGAGTTTTTTTAAGGGCTAGTGAGACAGCCTAACAAAATGTGTACATATTTTGCGTGTGGAAGGTCTGGGTTTGATCACTCGCACCACATGTTGTTCTGAGACCCTAACCAACATGAGTGTATGTCTCCCCACCCATAAAAGTGCTAAGACTACTTGTGTTTCCAGGTACCTGTTAAAAGATAATACACAGAGGAAATGCCATCACCTTAATCTCTGCTCAAAAACATCAGATAGGCTGCAAGTGTCAGAGCTGTGATTTTAAAGACAGAGTAGTACCAGGAACACCACACCTTCCCCCACCCCGGTTTGTTTGAGGCAACAGGGGTTTATATCACTGTATGTCTCAGGAGTACTATTTCACTTCTTCAACCTCTTCACAACACAACCAGTACCTTTTCACCACAGTGATAGGTGGGCTCGATCGAGACTGGAACAAGTTTCTTAACAAGCTCATCTTTATGGGAATTATCATACATAATTTGTATGTACTAAATTATGCATTAAAAACCAACAAGGATTAGATAAACCACCTTTTAAGTCACAGCAGCATTCAGAGGTGGCTATCTAAATTGCTAGAATTTGGTGCCCAATTAAAAATATTCCTAATTTTGGGGCTGGAGCAACAGTATCAGTAAGTACAGTGTTCACCTTGCATGCAGCTGACTCAGGTTCAATTCTTGGCACCCCATAAGGTCTCCCGTGCTGATCCCAAAGCAAGGAGTAAGCACTGAGCACTCCTGGGTGTGGCCCCAAAACAAACAAAAAATTCCTCCTTGTGTTCTCTAAAATGATTAAAAAACAAAACACTGAGAACCTTTGATGTATCATCGAATTGAACAGTTGCACATAAATGCATTTGTTTAGTTCAGTTCAATGCAGCTAACGTATTTTAGAATGAAAACCAAGGCCAGGCATCTCTTAAGTTTATTGGAGAATTCTTAGTCGGGAGAGGAAGATTACAGACTTGAACTGAAAAAGGATAAAAGAACAATTAACCGCAAATTTTTACAAAAGTTCTGAAATGCTTATTTTGAGTCACAGCTAAAACAAAATTTTAATGAAAAGGTTTTGTTAAATGAACATATTAAATTACTGAGGAGAAAAAAATACTGTCATACAAGATCTTAATGTAATAATTCAGTACAGTTCAAATCAACAGAATTATCCAAAGCTGCTTTTGCTATGTATCTGATCTATTAAACAAGAATATGAAATTACTTTTAACACTGCACAAGTAACCAAAGGTAGCAAACCCAGCAATATTACAACCAGATATTAAATAGTATTCAAACATTACAACAAAAACAAAACAATGAACTTCTAAGACTACAACTCTACCCATGTAAAAGGAATGTACAGATGGTAAAAAAATAAATAAATAAAGTGACCAAAGTGACTCCCACCGTATCTGCATCTTCAAACTGGAATACAATGAGTCGCATAAATGTGTGCAAGGTCTTTGACTGAAAATGAGGGGGAAAAAAGGCATCGCTCTAGAGTTCAGTCTTTAATTCCCAGGGAAGCTCTAATCCACTTGTGTTGGTCACAGGTGGGCAGAGTTTTAAATGGAAAGTGTTTGCCCTTCACTTTGAGCATGGGTGAATTCATTTTTAAAAATTCTGTGTAAGGTTTACTTTGAAAAACATAAAATTAAAAACAATATACCCATGACAAAGTGGGTAATATTGGCTATGCAAGAATAATGTTAGCTAGTTAATTAACTAAGCAGTCATTTGAGGCAGGACTCCGGAGAAGAGTCAAAGTTAAACTTGGCATATGGAGAATGTGCCCTGATGTCAAAGGCACGTGAGTCGATTATCGTTCACCTCATTGGTGGTGCACATGAAAAGTCATTAAATTCTCCTCTCAGCAACAAAAAGCAACATAAAGTCTCAGGCAAAATGAAAGTATTATAGATTGAACTAATCATATTAAATATTTAAAAGGGTAAGTGGCATACAGATATTTTCACATATATTCACGGAGTGAATACTCTCAAAGGTTTTATTACTCCATTTAATCGTATTAAACCATGTAATAGACATTTTCTTTTGTAACATATATATGGATATATATGTGTGTGCATATATATATACATGAATCATTCTTTTACAAATAAGGAAACTAGTCTTAAAATCAACATCATAAAGCCTAAAATATAAAATGTTAAATCTGACTTGGGACAAGTATGAAAGAATTACCACATGGGGGGGGGGGGGCTGGAGAGATAGTACAGCGGGTAGGGTGCTTGCCTTGCATGCGGCTTACCCGGGTTAAATCCCCGCGACATCCCATGTGGTCCCCTGAGCACAGCCAGGAGTGATTCCTGAACACAGAGGCCAGGAGTAATCCTTGAGCATTGCTGGGTATAGCTCAAAAAGAAACAAAAAAAAATACTGCATTTCAGGCTGAAATAATGTTCAAGACAGCCCTCCTGGCATCCCACACACAGGAGACCCTGTGCATTCACTGTTCACAGATCATTTGATGGTTCCAAAACTGATGAAATTCAGCTTAATATGCAACACATAAGGACATCCTTTATAAGGGCCAAGATGTACGATGGCCAATATGACAGTATTAGCAATATGTCAAGTTTTGTAATAAAACAAGACAGTGAGAGTGAGGGTTGTCTTGAACATCTTTGGAAAATTACAAAGTGCCTTTAAATAAAGCAGGTTTTAAACTATACTTGATTAGATGATACTGTTCAAAAAGCAAAACATTTATTTCTCTATATAAGGAAACTTAACTCAAGCTCCTTTTCATATCTGCCAATACCTAATATTCTTCTCTATGCCCCTGAACTGGACTAATACAAGTGTATAGATCCACTCTGATTTTTACTATGCATGCTAATACCTAATGACTTATCTGTCACTAAGTAGTGGCTAAATAAGGGAACTCTAAGCCCAGTACAGCTCCAGAAAAATACAAAGGAAACAAAGATAATGAGCACAGCTCAAAATGATCATTACTATAAGAGAAATAAACAGAAATATTTTCAAGCACAAAAAGTTTTACAAAACTAAATTGTCACTTGAGTTTAAAAGAAATTCAGAACTTCGTTTTGTTGTTAATAAAACCCATACATACATCCAAATTGCTAAATACAACCTGATGGTTATATACTTTAAAATATTTCATCTAAATTTAATCATCAGTTGACCCACGTTATAATTAACAATCTAGGCCTAACATTAAAAAACCCAATCCAGTGCTGCTACAACTCAAATTCTAAAAGGTGAAAGAAAGAAACAATTCTGAGTATACTTTTCCTACTTTCAAAATAGCTGAAGAAACTCTAGGTAAATTTATTTTCAAGACTCACTCTATTTCTTTATCTTAAAACTAAAGGATAAAAACTGCTTAAAATGTAAGCTCAAAATAGTCATGCTTTCCTTAAAAAGCAAATGATGACTATTTTGTTATAAAAAAACATTTCTTTATAATAATAATAGATTTAAATGAATGTAAGTGCTATTATTTCTTGAGTCTGGTTTAGTGCTATGTCTTCCACATTTTGTAGAGCTCCTAGAACAGTCAGTAATCATGAAAAAAGATACTGTAATGGAATAAAACCAAAGGTATCAATAAATTAATTCTAGATAAAAAAAAAAACTCAAGGAAGAATGAAAAAAAATCTACGCACATATACCCTCACATCCAAAACCAAGACATAGTCTCAGTTCCTTATTCAAATTAATTTGCAGTTTCTAAAGACAAAAACAGAACCCAGAAAGATCATGTCAGAGAACTTTACAAAATGGAGAAAAACATTTCATTGTGCATGAATGTGTTGAGTGTGGGGGGAGGAAGAAATCCCCATTTCTTGTAAAAAAGTTTGTCCTTGGCTAAAGCAGAATTTTTTCCAAAAATATCCAACAATGAAAATTGCTACTGGGCTTCTCTAAATGCAATTCTATTTGACACTAATTTAATTTTAACATATTCTGTGCCCTTATTTCCATTTATGGACTAAGTTGTGAGACCCAAAAAAAGTAAAAAAAAATTCTTACCGCACAATCTTTAGAGACATTTTATTTTAAAGCACCTTTTAATGTTAACAGTGAATGGCTAACAAAAAGGGGAGGGGAGGGCACAAACCATCCAGTAAGGTTAATGAACTTCTTTTCACACACACGCGTGCACACACACACACGCATGCACACACACAAATTTTCTTGCCAGAATGACTGGCAACATTGGCAAATGATATCATTTGATGAAAGGATGAAGAACCTATCATTCATAGTAGTTATAGAAACCCATAACCTTGTTTCTAAGGTTGAGAGAGTCAATGAAAAAGGACCTTTAAAACCAAGACCAAAAATATCTGTAGGAAAAATTAAAGTAGCCTCTAAACTATTTTTGGAATCAGAGTATTTATTAATAGAACACCATTTGTTTGCAAAGAAGCAAAATTATAACTCTTTGTCCCTGGAACTTATCCTCAGCCATCTTGGTGCAGGTTCTAGCAGCACTATTAGATTCAAAAAAGAATGCCATCAACGTCCCTGAAAACTTCATGGTTAAACCTTCCTTCAAATACATGTTCTTAGGGTCTCAAGTACTATACATGTGTATAGAAGAATAAACAAAGACAATATTTTGACAAAGATTACAAAAGTATGAACTATATACACCATGGTGACACAATGTGCTTAAAAAGCTGTATTTACTTTCCTTCCACTTCGCTTTAAAAATTACTACTTACTACTCAAAGCTTTCCCTATGAACCTTTGTTTCTTCCTCTCACAAAACAAATCATAAGACACACTGGGTTTGGGGATTCTATGCATTTTCCAAGAGCCAATCGAACAGTGACTTGCATCTCTCCTCACTGGAAATCTTTTCCATCACTTCATAGTATTTCAGCACAGCTTGGAGAAGGTCTCCCACTTTCCAGCCTTTCATTTGCAATTGCTTCGAAAGCTAGTAAGAAAGACATGTCAAATATTAACCATGAATAAGTTTCTACTGAAGTTTTGTTTTCATTTTGTTTGTAACAACTAAAAAAAATCGCAAAATAATTGAGCATCCTGTTGTATGAAATTAAATATCGTTTCCCAGTACAACAAGGTCTTCATCCCTAAATGATCACCTTTGTATACAAATTTAACATCCTACTTCCAAATCTTTATAAATACATCTCTTTATAAATACATCTCTTCCACAGATTGATACTTCAGAATTGCTAGAGACAGAACTCCAGAAAGTTACCCAATACATAGTTGAATAAAAGTACAGAGGCTAAAATTTCAACAGAAAATTTGTAAATTAACTTGTAAGTACAACTGCCACAATTAGAAGCGTAAGATAATAAAGTGATTGACAAGCTTAATTAAAGGATGCGGCATTTCATTTCACAACATATGGTGTGGCTTTTTCTTGAATACAAACTCGTTCTTCAACAGAAACACAGCTTTTGGGGGGTATGGTGCCGCCAGCAGGTCAATCTGTACCTGTGAGGCGAGTGCATCAGCAGTCTGATGCCACCTTCAGACTTCCAGATACCCCAAAATTGCTGCTGTGCCATTGGGCAGACCCCAAAAACTTGGGGCAAAGTTTACCAAGAAACTAAACAGCCAAAAGTTAGGAATGTGGGAGACACACCCACAAACACCCTCTGGCTAAGCTATATAATTGGAGGCATGGCCTCTGTGGTTCCTGATCGGACTGCATATCGGCCATGATCCCAGAGACTCATAAACAAATCTCGAAACCCAATGGCTTTTGGCAGAAATGCGTCTGGTCCCTGGCATAGGTTACCGGCACCGGGCCAACCCAGGGGGGAAAGGGTGCTGTCCCCCCACCAGCTCCCCTTTGGTGGTTCGGTGGCTGCCATCCTCCAGAGGCCATTGGATAGTCAGGTTTGGCCCTCAGTGACAAGACACATGGGGCCTCACGGGATGGGGGTGGAGCCAGCCTTTCCTCCCCATCCCAACAAGACCCCGAGTCACCACCCACGAACAGCCTCTCTGGCTCATGATCAAGCTGTTTAACGGCCATGATCCCAGAGACTAAAGAACAAATTTCAGAACCCGGCAGGTTTTGGCAAGAAATCCCTCCAGATTTAACTGTTTAAATTTCGGAATTTCAAAATCACACGGCCACTAATGCAGCCGCGCGACATCATATGTTATTCATGAGCAGCAATAGAAAACAAATTGTCTACTGTTGCCTTTTCAGCAGATCTGAGTGTTGGGGTAAAATCCCAAGTAATAATGGTGGGTCTGGTGTCAAAAATATTGAATGTGATCAAAGTAGAGAGTCATGTGGAGGTCATCTGCCCCACAGGTAGGGGGAGGGTATGGGATGGGGGCATACTGGGGTTTTTGGTGGTGGTGAATGGGCACTGGTGAAGGTACAAGTGTTTCACTGTATGACCGAGACTTAAACCCGAAAGGTTTGTAACTGCTCTCACAGTGATTCAATAAATAAAATTATAAAAAATGAAAAAAAAAAAGAAAAGTAAGGTGGAGTTCATGCACAATTCAATCAGTCTAATCAGTGGCTGAATAAATAGCAGTACTCCTACATAAAAGGAAAAAAAGAAACAGCTTTTGATATATTAAGAAATGCAAATGATGAAATTTTAAAAGCACCCACAAATTAAATATAGGTTAATTAAAATCCATAGTCTTTAATCAGAATATATCTTCACTCACTATTTTCCTATTAAGTTTGCAAAATCTATTTTAATATTTTGTGATATAATCATAACGCTTTAAAATTCGCATACCATACAGAAATTACCCATTTAATGCATACCTGTCAGTCAATGAATTTGCACTGAACTGAACGCAACCATGACCACAATCACTATTAGAACATTCCTATCAGAGCAAAGTAAAATCTACCCATTAATACTCACTCCTAATTTTACCCCAATCCCCTCAACTTTAGTCAGTCATAAATCTACTTTCCGACTCCATAGATTTGTCTATTTTACCCATTTCATACAAAAGTAACCATAAAATACATGGTCTTTTTAGGTCAACCTCTCTCACAAACATGTATTACCTCTACACCATGATTTCTTTTTCATTCCTCTTACTGAAAATTACTCAACTGCACCACATTTTGTTCATTAATCAACTGACAGACATTTGGGACATTTTCACTTTTAGTCCTTCATGCATAATGTTGTCACAGACATAAATGCTTCCCTCTCTCGGGAACATATATAGGAGTGGAAGGTATGTGGCAATACTGTTTGGCTTTTTGAAGAACTGTTAGAATATTTTCCTAGATTATGAAGGGACTGGGGGAAGAGGAAGTATACTAATGTCTCAAATGTCATTTTGCTCCACTCTAGCTAAGGCCTCCATTAGTCCTGTTTATCCAAGATTAAATGGCTTAAAATTTTGTGTACCCTCAGGGCTATCAGGGTCCTGAGCTCAATCCACAGCACCACTAGCCCCTCTAAACACAGCAGGGCTAATATGCTGGCCCCAAGCAGTAATGCACCAATGCACTTAACTACCTGCCAGTGTCAAGCACTGCCAGGAGCGTCCCCAATCCCACCCCCAGGCCCTTGAGCACTGTTTAGAAGGTCCCCCAAACTATTCATGAAAATGAAAATAAAAAGAAACCTGGGTGCCTACTGAACAGCTCTATTCTTTTCATGAATTTCCTTTTGACAATTCATTTTTGGAATATTCCTTTCCTGTCTTATTTTCACCTGCCCACAAAAGGAAATTAAACTGTAAAAATTACAAAAGGTCTAGGTAAAAACAAACAACATTTTTATATAATGTCTTTTTCCCACTACGTCGACCAAGAGTATCTTCATAAATTCTTAACTAAAAATCATGAGTAATTTTATGTTTTAACTTTTGTTGTCCCTGGTCAATTGACAAGCTTCTTCACTGAACTACTTTATAGCCTATAATGAGACAAAGTTACGCTGGGGAAAATTTTAGAGAAAGAAAAGGAACAAAAATCTTTGTGTGGTAGTGAGGTAGGGAGGGGGAAGTTTTGGGATCACACCTCTGTACACAGGGATTATTCCTAGCTCTGTGCTCAGGGGATCATAGATGGTGCTGTGGATCAAACCAAAATTGGCCTCACTTCAAAACAAGTGACTTACCCCCTGTAATATCTCTCTGGACCTTCAAAATAGAAAATTTCAACAAGATAAATTTTCAATAAAAGTAATTAATTAATGCATCAAATCTAAATGTTTTATTAGAACCCTATCTCTGCTTCTTATTGGATGTCTGAACTTTTACTATTTTTTTTAATTGTGCTAGCTTTTCATTATAAAATTTGAGTAACGGAGAAAGAGACATACTAATTACTAGCACAATTATCAATTAAATTCAAAGAAAAATCACCATCTTTTTATAAAAATACCTTAAATGTTTATTAAAGGTGCCTGACTCTGGGAAGTCAGTATGTGCCAGGGACTGATTAAGCCTATTTTACAGTATTGTATGTATTCTTAATAAACCTCTGTATATTCTATACTCATTCGCACAGTGCAGATAAGGGCACTAAAACTACAAACTTGTCCAAAGTCAGAATGTTAGTGAGTGGTACAGTTCTCCAACACAATGACTAATCTCCTTGCAAAAAACATCTGACACTCGGCTATGAACAGACATCTTATTAGGTCAGTCATATACTACAGAAAATCTACCAGCAAGTGTATTTTCACAACTACCCCATAAGACAGGTACTTACTAGTATAAATTCCTTCTTTGCAGAGTCGTGAAAATAAAGTTCTGAAACTTCAGCCTCAGAGGCAATAAGCCACTGAAGGATGATTCTTAGCTGGGGATCTACGGTGCATGGCTCCATGTCAATATTTGAAATTAGCAAAGTCTTTCCAACTTGCTCCAAACCTAATATTCAAATTTAATAAAGAACATGAAGTGAAACTCATCATTTCAACTCAGTATCCTAGCTTTCAAAATTTTCTAAGTAATTTCCATTTCTTAAGATTCCAATAAACGCCTGAAAAAAATTTTTTTCTTCACTACAAGATAAGATCAACTAAGACAGATTTCTGAAGGGGCAAAATAAGGCTGGGACATAATAGTAACTTTGATCATCTAAGAATACAAACTAAAGAAATGTTATTTTGAAGTACTAAATTCAAGTACTGTAAATGCTATACTTTGTGTCAAGATATGATAGATAAAAGGGAAAATATGACTACAAAGTTAAGATTACAGTCAAACTATAAATAAAACAAATACAATTCTCAAATAAATACACTGAACAACTTTGAAAAAAAATTTTCTGAACTAAAGAAAAAATATTAAGCAAACACTTGAAACAGTAGGTTACATATTGCTCAAAGCTCTTTATACTCATTTTGCAAAGTCCTTTAATTTTCCCAACCACTGTATGACGTGAGAAAAGAATTACTATCGCCATTTTTTAAGGATGCAGGATATAGATGAGTCAGGTAGAGATCTAGAGTCTCAAAGCTGCAATAGGGCAGCGAGAATAAAGACAAAGGCCATTTTCTCAATCACTTTATTCTTTAGGCAAAATGTCAAATGCAATCACTGACACGCCAAAACCAGGCTGGGGAATTTTATGCTATACTCTAAGGTAAATAAGATGCCACACTCAATTTTTCTTTTTAAAGAAAATTGTGTTTTAGGGGCTGGAGTGATACTACAGGAGGTAGTGTGCTTGCCTTGCACATGGTCAACCTAGGTTTCATCCTTGGCACCCTATAAGGTCCCCTGAGCCTACCAGAAATGATCCCTAAGTACAAAGCCAGGAGTAACCCCTGAGCACCACCAGCTGTGGCCCCAAACAAAACAAAACAAAACAAAAAGAACATTATGTCTTAATACAAAAAAGTATGAATCAAGGCTGGAGCCATAGTATGGCAGGTAGGGCGTTTGCCTTTCACACAGTTGACCCGGGATTGATTCCCAGCATCCAGCATGGTCCCCTAAGCACCGCCAGGAGTAATTCCTGAGTGCAGAGCCAGGAGTAATCCCTGAGAATTGCTGGGTGTGACCCAAAAAGAAAAAAAAAAAGGAAAAAAAGAAAGTATGAATCCCTGAAGTGACCTGCGCATCAATACTATGTGTTTAACTCGCCTGCTAGCCGAGCAACTAGGGGTGCTGACAACAGGTCTGTCCCACACACAAGAAGTGAGCAGCGGGGTCTGTGGCGGACCTTCCCCCATCTCTAAGTTGTGAAAATTAGTTGCTGGATGACCCTGATTCTGGTTTACAGTTTATAAGGTTTCTAGACAACTACTCTTTTTGGATTTGTGTTGACTCCCTAATTTACTTAAAAAGTTGGTCTACCTGTTCCCTTAAAAATTAAATACTTTGGGGCTGGAGCAATAGCACAGCAGGTAGGGCGTTTGCCTTGCACGCGGCCGACCCGGGTTCGATTCCCAGCATCCCATATGGTCCCGAGCACCGCCACGGGTAATTACTGAGTACAAATCCAGGAGTAACCCTTGTGCATCGCCAGGTGTGACCCCAAAGAAGAAAAAAAAAATTAAATACTTTGTCTTTTCCCTCCTCTGCCCCTCACCAAAGACTAAATCAAAAAGTGGATCTGGTGCACTATGGTGCCAATAAGGTCTCAGGGCCATTTTACTGATCCTGTAGCAGTCAGAGGGATGCTAAGTCACCACAGGCTTGTATGACTGGTGCTCTCAGTGCTCAGTTCAGGGCTTCTGGGAGCCTGCCCTGAGAGGGCTCTTCTAGATGAAATTGCCTTTTTAACCCTACAAAATAAGGTAAATAGCACCCAGCCTATCCACAGTTAAAGATACTTGCCCTAAGTTTAAGTAAAAATTTACTCTAGAAGTTCAGTGATTAAGACTACCTACTTAACAGAGCATTAGGACTAAAAATTACAATAATCTGACATTTGAGGGCTCTGGCTTGAAAATTGGTACAACTTCTCTAAAATACAATTGGTGATAAACTTGATAGGAAATCATGGTACAAAGCACACTGCAACAGAATGCTTTTGAAATTTTTGTTTGCCCACTTTCAAAGAATAGATAACTGTAGCACTGTAGCACTGTCCTCCCGTTGTTCGAGTGGGCCCAGTAACGTCCCCATTGTGAGATTTGCTGTTACTGTGTTTGGTATACTGAATATATCATGGGGAGCTTGCCAGGCTCTGCCTTGCGGATGAAACACTCAGGCTCTCCGAGAGGAGTGGAGGAATCAAACCTGGGTTGGTCAGGTCGGCTGCGTGTAAGGCAAACACCCTACTCACTGGGCTATCGCTCCAGCCCAAATAGACGACAAAATTACTAAAATAAATAAATAAATAAATTATTTCAGGGGCTGGAATGATAGTACAATGAAGGAGGGCATCTGCCTTGCACGTGGCGGAGTAATTCCTGAATGCGGAGTAAGGAAGAACTCCTGAGAATGGCAGGGTTTGACCCAAAAAGAAAAAAAAAAAATTCAAACACTATGAATACTTTTATATTCCATTTTATTAAAGGCATTATTGACCTTTTACATAATTAACAAACTTAATATTTTTTTGAAAAAAGACTGACTATATGTAATACTAATATTAAACACTAATTCTTGAAAATTCTTAAGGTTATTTGTAGAGAAAAAAACTCACATGCTGTAATTACAAATTACCTTATATGAGTAAGAATTTTATATTTTGAAAAGATAATATAGACTATGAAATATGAACCAGCTAAAGAATTCCTTTTATAGAAGCTCAATCTTTATAATCAAATAACACAAACTGCTCAATAAACAAAATGACCCTGGAGAAATTTTTTCCAGAACACCCCGAGTTGCAATGTAAATATAGGAATAATAATTTGCAATAACCCAGCATCTAATGAAAATGAAAAAGCAGAAACCTTTAAAAAATAGTCAGTTACCTTCTTCATCGTCCTCATCCTCTTCGTCATCTGGCTCATCACTTTCAAACAAAATGGCACAAAAGCAGTTTTTAAAAAAAAGCATTAGTTAATAACAGTATTAAAAATAGTATTAAAATAGCAGTATTAAATTCTGAAAGTGTGGTACAGAATAAATGTTACAATATGACAAATGACATTTTAAAAGGGGAGAAATGACAATAAAAAAGGAAGCTTTGCTTCTCACACCATTTCATGTTAAAATCTGAATTGTAAATAATTCCCAGTATAGTTACCAATAACCAAGAAATTCTATCCAACCATAATATATTCAGTGTTCCAGGTAATCTCAAAATAAAATTTAAAGTAATTCAAAGCCAAATATTCAATTAATTTAGTTTTGAAAAAAAAAAGCATTTGGATATCATAGAATGCCACAATTATTTAATGCTTCTGTTGATGTTATTTATATATTTTAAAACACAGTAAAAACTTTTTCCTATACTTTTCTGACATGAAAAATAAAACTACATACAGAAAAAAAGCAAAAAAAATGATAAAATCAGAAATCCTGTAGGAAGCAAGCTCTTTTTAATGAAATAGTAATTGGTAGAATGAACAACAGCAAGCGGAGCAACACATGCATGAAGTAACATATCTTGCATCTAGATGTCAGTCTTAGCATGATTGTTTTTATTAGACATAAACTGATCAAGCAGAATTATGTCAAATTACAAGAGAGAAGCAGGTTGATACATATTGGCGCTGTAATCCACATTCTTTAAAGAATATGACATCATGCATTAGTGGTGAGAGACTCATCAAGTGTTTAAAGTTCTGGACTGGACCAACCTGTCTGATGTTGGAAAGGATAAATTGTCCTCACACAAATCTCCTTCTAAACCAAGACTGCTCCAGCTACTGCTGTTACCATTACTGCCAGAGGAAGAAAAGAACAGAGCTGAACTAGAAAATGAATAGTAATGAAGACCTTGGTTTCCTTGGAATGGCTTCTGTCAGTGACATGGGGGGCGTTTCTGAAATTACTATTCATACAGAAAAAATGTTGACCACAGTAGGCAAGAGAGACCATTCCTGCTATTCGGGCAGGTACCTGACATCTTCAGAGTGGTTTTTCTCTTTAACTGTCCTCAGCCGATCATAAAAATTATTCTGAATATTTATACTTATTTTAGAGATAAGGGACAGCATGAGAATGCATGAAATAAGAAGTCTCACAATTCAGTTAATGTCGCTGACAAATCTTGAAAATAATGTGCATAAAGCCAGCATTCTTCAGTTTGGATAAAGTTTAAGAAGAAAAAGCACAGGTTAACATCCCCTTTGTCATTAGAGAGCGCAATGATGGGCTTTCAAAGGAAATGGGGGAACAGGGTGGAAGGCAGCAAAATATAAGTGAAACAGACTTTTCCTAGAAATCTGGATAAGAGACATTTTCTGGCTTTAAAGTATTATTATGTGGATTATCTTCATTTCATATGCTATGTTTAATTCAGTAGGAGACAAATGACAGTCATTTTCTTCAGAGTACGATAGCCTAGGCTTATTACTCTGGTCTGTTCCGCCATACCATACAGATATATTACAGGAATCAAAAGGAGAAAGCAACAATATTCTAAAACTGCAGCAAAGCAATAAAAAAAGCAACTACATTCAGAAATAAACTCTATTCAATTGCTGAGATTATCACCTACACATGCAGTTTTTTTTAAAAAAAAAAACCTAGTCATTAATTAGTTAAGTTAGCACATTAGTTTGCAGTATAAGCAGCTATAATTTCCAATATTAGACTAGTAATTATAAAAATTACTGTTCATATAGAAAAAATTGTTGATTCTAAGATGAATTAACAGAAGACTTTCATATGTGTCAGTAAATGCTGATAAGGCTATATAAAAAAGGTTTAAAGTTTTAAATAATTTCCTAAGCATCTGTATTTTCTATAATCAGATTTACTCTAACAACATTAACCTATCACAGATTCCTATGTAATGAGAAAAACCTAGCAGTCTTCCCAACATATCTTAAAAAAAAAAGTTATCAGAAAATGCTGAAGCAACTGTCACTGTCCTCCCGTTGTTCATCGATTTGCTCGAGCGGGCCCAGTAACATCTCCATTGGAGACTTTGTTGTTACTGTGTTTGGCATAACAAATAGTCACAGGGAACTTGCCAGGCTCTGCCCTGCGTGCAAGATACTCTCGGTAGCTTGCCGGGCTCTCCGAGAGGGGGGGAGGAATTGAACTCAGGTTGGCCATGTTGGCTGCATGCAAGGCAAACACCCTGCCCTAGAGGGCTCCAGCCCTAGAGGAAAGCTCATCAGTGGGGCTACACGCTGAAGCAACATAGTGTTTTATTCATGTAATCTGTTGCCAAAACCAAATAGAAAACCATGGAAATATACAATGGACAGATGCAATGAGTCAGAGAGAAAGAGAAAATTAATGTTCCTGACTCCCTGCACTTATTTGTATTAGACAATGATTATATAAACAAAACAATGAACTACAAAATTAAAATTCTTCCCCATATACTAGAAACTATAAAATGAAAAGAGACCACAAGTAAGAAATGTAGATATTACAGGGCTAGAGAGCTCTGTCATGAGGCTGGCACATGTGTTCTGCACGTAGGAGGTCAGGACTCCAGACCTCCCAGCCCATGAATCCCCGCACCACCTGAACACTGAGTCTGGTAATAGCCCTGGACATAGCTGGATGTGACCCGTAAAACAAAATATAAAGACTCAAAATTCATGCTTCCTCCATCTAACCTTATTTCCCCTGCCTTTTCGTACCCCCAAATGTGTCGTGTTCGAAGTCAGTTTTATGTCAAATCCTACTTCTAAGGTGATCTTATAATTTTCTCATCTAAAAAGGAAAATGTGGAATACACAAAAGTTATTATAACTACACTAGAAAAGAAGTATGTCAAGACCACTCTGGGACACAGGGAGGTATGGATATCCCAGCACTAAATTTCTTCACTTAATAGTCATCATGTTTCATTCTTGAACACTTTTTAACCTAACATTGTTTTCATTTGTTTTGCTAATATTTTAAAAAGCATTTCATTTGTATTCTTTAAAATTATATAGTTACATGTTTATATTATGTTCTTTGTCTAGGATAAACATACTTCAACATAGTAAATTAAGAATCCTAATTCTGGGTTGGAGTGATAGTACAGTGGGTAGTTCGTTTGCCTTGCACACGACCGACCTGAATTCAATCCTTGACATCCCATATGGCCCCCCAAGCACCGCCAGGAGTAATTCCTAAGTGGAGAGCCAGGACAGGAGAACCCCTGAGCATTGCTAGGTATGACCCAAAAAGAAAAAAAAAAAGAACCGTAATTCTTTGTTGTGGTTTTCAGTCATATGAAGACTACTATTAATTCTGACATCTCATAAAAATTATTTCAAATATTTTGCAAGGTCACTCCTATCTCTTGTCTGATCTACTATAGAACTTACAATAACTTCAAAAGCTGCCTGAAATACTTAATGCATAGAGATTAGTTTCCTTATTGATCAAATTACACTTGTTGAAATTTGAAATCAGTTTCACTTGTTAACCTTTGCTCTCTATTAAATTCCTACTTAGAGGGGCTGGAGTGATAGCACGCAGCCGACCCGGGTTCGATTTCCAGCATCCCATGTGGTCCCCTGAGCACCGCCCGGAGTAATTCCTGTGTGCAAAGCCAGGAGTAACCGCTGGTGTTAAGAGGGGAAGGTCAAGGCCCAAATGATAAGAACCTTTCCTCTTGAACCATTAGTACTAGAAAACAGTGAACTCCTACCACAGATGTCTATACCAGACAAAGGGATGTCAAACCATGCTCTATAACTTGACCTCTAAACCACCTGCTATCATCTGACATGCTTACATACGTCATATGACGTGCTGTGGGCTCCTCAGAGGCACGGATAAATCTTAGTCTCTGTGAGGTGAAATCCTCGAAATTCTTTTAATTAGCACCACCTGCCTTGAATAAATAAGCTCCATAATTTTTTCTCTGTCCCTGAACTGTAATTTCGCGCTGCTACTTTAGTTCTTAGTAAGGCTGTAGTCAATTCAATCTATGATTGTTTTCTGACAAAACACTATCATGGGGCTGGAACAATAGCACAGCAGGTAGGGTGTTTGCCTTGCACATGGTCGACTTGGGTTCAATTCCCAGCATCTCATATGGTCCCCTGAGCACTGCCAGGAGTAATTCCTGAGTGCAGAGCCAGGAGTGACCCTGTGCACCGCTGGCTGTGACTCAAAAAGAAAAAAAAAAAAAAAACCACTATCCAGTTAGGTTTTCCCCATTCTGAATTCCAACACTTAATTTTCTGAAGCAAAATGTATTTGACCATGCTACACATACGGTTACTATCTCAGCCGGAGTCACCTTCGAACCTTGCTTGTATGTTACCTGTGTTGTGAGGTGTCAGTAAGATATTTAGACACAGTCAACATACAAAATATGTAGAACCTCACCACCCTTAGCTCCAGTCTCTAATCACTGAAGCATTACCTCAGATCGTCACTTGCTCTGAATCTTATATAGCACTCTGTCTGACTTTTTGAGGGCCATAAAGATGTCAAGTGTTTGCTATTCCAGGAGCTGCAGGTGTCGAGCCCACAGGCCAGAATCAGTAAAATACAAAGTCCACCCTGTCCCAGCTCAGAATTCTAGTTGTGACATCCTTCCCAACACTGCTGCATTTCCTTACAGGCCCACTGCTTCAGACAGTTGCAGTGTTTGTTTATAGTTTGCAACATTTATAATTGCTTCCTAAAGTGCTAAGATGGGATGAGCATTATTACATCAAACCAGCAGCACTCAGGTACAACAGAAATCCTTTCTAGTAAGAATCTGATCCCTATCTACTTCCCACATCACAATCACACTTTGCTCCAGTCTCAGCTTGTTCTCCCCTGCATATGTTTGCCACTGCTATTGTTGCTATGGCAGTGCTAGGGATGAAACCCAGGGCCTGCCATGTACAGGGCAAGTGCTCTTCCGCTGAGTGACATCTCCAGCCCATTCTGTGTTTATTCAAAAGCTACCAACCACACTAACCTCCCATAAATATGCCAAGTTACAAACTTACAATCTTTTAGCTTTTTTTCTTGAGCCCGGTATTCTTGATTCTAACTCTTTAATTACAAAGCTGACTGTTTTCACAACTGGCATTTTGTATATTAAAAATGGGACCAGAGGGACAGTATAGGGATTATGAGGCACTTGCCTTGCTCAGGGCCAATCCTGGCACTGAACATTTTTCCTGAATACCACCAGGAGTGACCTCTGAGCAGAGTCAGGAGTAAATCCTGAGCACTGATGGGGGTGATCCAAAAACAAAAATAAATGAATATATAAAAATATGCCTTTGTACAGTTCAGATAGAGAAGGGATCACCAAGTAAAGGGTGCTAGGAGGATCCACTCAGAATGGGAGACACACGGTGAAAATCGACTATTGACCAAACATGATGGCCACTTAATACCTCTATTGCAAACCACAACACCCAAAAGGACAGAGAGAGAGAGAGAGAGAGAGAGAGAGAGAGAGAGAGAGAGAGAGAGAGCGCAAAAGGGAATGCCCTGCCAAAGAGGCAGGTTGGAGTGGCAGGGAAGGAGCAGGGGTGGTGGGAGGGATGCTGGGACCATTGGTGGTGGAAAATGGGCACTGGTGGAGGGATGGGTACTTGATCACTGTATGACTGAAACGCAACCACAAAAGTTTGTAAGCCTGTAACTGTACCTCACAGTGATTCACTAATAAAATATTTTTTTAAAAAAGAAAATACAGAGTATTTTAGGACAGCAGTAGAGCGTTTGCCTTGCACGTGGCCGACCTGGCCAACCCCAGTTCGATTCCTCCACCCCTCTCGGAAAGCCCGGCAAGCTACTGAGAGTATCTCGTCCACATGGCAAAGCCTGGCAAGCTACCTGTGACATATTTGATATGCCAAACACAGTAACAACAAGTCTCACAATGGAGATGCTACTGCGCCCGCTTGAGCAAATCGATGAATAATGGGAGGACAGTGCTACAGTGCTACAGTATTCAAAAAAAAAAAGTCCTTGTAAAAAAGTTAAATTTAAAACAAAACAAAATCAGAAATTATCTTTTTTCTGTTTTGAGTCTATCACAATTAAGGAATATCCTGTATCATTAATAAAATTCTAAACAGGACAGAGCTTAAAGATGCCTCTTTCACTCATTTTCATTAGATGGAATTCTGCACAAATCTGTCCAACTAGCTACTAACTTCTATTCTCCCATTTTAAACCAGGACTTCCTAAGCATTAATGTTAACCCTCACTAAAATTCTGGATGCCTGTGTTTCTCAAAGAAATATTGAAGAAAGAATGTTCTATTATAGACAAACCTGTGGAAATGGCCATGTTATGATTTGAAACATTATCCCTATCTCTTCAACCAGTATGAAAGAATAACTCTTGGGAATCTGGGTTTTAAGAAATTGGTGGTTTAGGTGAATGTTTCTCAACCAGGGACCATATGACCCCCTTCTAGCCCCCCAGGATATTTCGAGAGGTCCAGAGCAGAAAATCACTTTAGTGAAATGCCATGCCCTCTCAGTTGGGGGGACCAAGTATGGGGGGACAGGGTAGACACAGGAAGGAAACAAACGAGAAGGGAGCCAAGATCAGAGGAAGGTTGAAAAACACTAGTCTAGACAGCATTTAAAGAAACTAACGAAATATTTCATAAAGATATTAACACATACTCGCTAGTTCAAACACAAAGCTCTGAGATAATGAGTTCGAACTGGAGAAGAGCCACTTTCCTTTCCTGATGTTTTCTGCCTGCTATGGGCTTCTCATCACCCCTGGCGCTAAGTCAATTCTGAGTGCTCTTTTCAACTGAAGCCTCTCAGTGTCCTTCCAAATATACCTGATGCTGGAAGTATGCATGCTCCAAGCCCTGTTCTCTCTTTAGACAAACCTACAGCTAGCATTTATTGTTTCCAATTATTAGTCAATGTGGAAGATTTTATGGCATTTTATCGGTTAGTTAGGAATGCCAACATAAAGAGTTAGGAACATAAAAGTGGTTGGAGAGAGAGCACAGGGTAAAGTGCTTACTTGTCCTGTCTACGGCCATTTTCTATTCCTGACATCAGATGTCCCTAAGCACCAGCAGCAGCGAACCCTGAGCACAGAGCTGGGAGTAGACCACAAGCAATGCCAGGTGTAGCTGCCCACTAAGAATACTGTATTGTTAATTAATAAAATGTTCCAGAGACACTTACCATGAACAAACAGATCAAGTAAGTACCTTCTGTTGCATAAAACACTACTGTCATATTGCGCTTATATATATCTTCAGTCATTCAAGTATAAATGTTCCAGACCATTTGTTTTGGACAAAAAAGAGGAATCCTTCTCCCTAAAAGAATACTTTAACTAATATTAAGAAAATTACAGAGCTATTTTAATGTCTTTTACAGAGAGCTATCTTTTTCTCTACTCTATGAAGAAAAAGTATTCTTGAAAGTGAAAAAAATTTGGTTTACCTAAAAAATTAATGAGAAATCCAAGAAACCTTAAGGGTATAAAAATAAAATAAATGTAATATTTTTCAAATCTATTTTGGCAAAACCACAAAAATTTAGCTTACCTAATCACTGTACTTATAATACATGTTAAAATCTATTAAAACACATTTTAAATAATAAAATACACTTTGAGAATAATAGATTTTCAAATTCAGGGTTTAAAATAATACACAATACACATAAAATACACTTCTGAAGCCTGAGGGTCTAAACTGTACAACCACATGCCTAATGTCAGTTACCTTTCACTTAGATGATGAAAACTGCTGCTTTCATCCTGGGGTTCATCTTCAAAACTTAAGTTGGACCAGCTACCAATGCTGTCTTCACCAATACTGACATTCATCTGCTGGCTACCAAAGGACTCGGCTGAATAGATGTCTTCTATTTCTTTTGGACTGAAAAACAAGGGGGGAGAAAATCCACCTCAATCGAAAAACATCAAATTCTGAATTATGACTATCAAATAAAGATGACAAAAAGAAGTAGCTCCTAGAGTTGGACCAATTCAACTTACTAATCCTTTCTGTCTAATAAAGACTATACAGGAAAGCATATTAATTTGAAAACTAAGTGGGGTACCCACTAACACCCCAAATTTATTTTGTCAATCTGTTATGGATCTATCACTGCATTTACCATAATACCTGCATTTCAATGAAAACAATTCATGTTTTCAACAGGAACCACGATGAAGAAATTCAAATTCATAAGTTTAACATCTGTTTTGTAAGTCAGCATTTTTATTTATACTTAAAAATAACTCTTGGGGCTGGAGTACAGCATAGCGGGTAGGGCGTTTGTCTTGCACGCGGCGGACCCAGGTTTGATTCCCAGCATCCCATATGGTCGCCTGAGCACTGCCAGGAGTAATTCCTGAGTGCAGAGCCAGGAGTAACCCCTGTGCATGGACAGGTGTAACCCAAAAAGGAAAAAAAAAAAAATAACTCTTCGTAGATTTAGGAAGACTAACCAAAAATAAAACAAAAGTCATTTAAAGAATTCTAAGAAACAGTCAATCAAGCAATAATTAATCATTATCTTGAGAATGGATCATATTCCCTCTCCTTTTTTCAATGCAAAGCCTTTATTTTTATTTCATCTTCACAAGAAAAGCAATTCACTGTTCAATTACTGCAATTGCCCCTCTACATATTATTCTCAAGAGAAAAGTTGCAACTGATTTTTTTTTTATTTTAAGTAACACCCAGCAGTGCTTAAGACTTAATCCTGGCTCCACATTCAGGGATCATTGTTAGCAGGGCTTGGGGAACCATATGGGATACCCGGGGATTAACCCCAGGTTCAAGATGGTTGCTTGCAAGGCAAGTTGCCCTACTCACTGTACTATTGCTCCAGTTCATCAAATGATAATTTTTAAACAAGACTTAAGATAAAACCTCTCTGAAAAATTCAAGTGCTAATACTATATACCATCTGGCCTCCTCCTATTATCTCCACCTCACCTTTAGCTGCTCTCCCTGACACAATCCTGTTCAGCAACGGGAACTCTGCCTACATCCCACTCCACTGGGGCCTCGCCTCTGGATTCCCCCGTTATCACTCTCCTCATTGTTGGCTCTAAGCTCAAAGGTCCTGCTACCTCTTGAAACTGCAACCAACCCCAATTGCCACACATCATCACCATTCCTCTCTAACTCCCTTTCTCTAGGTTTCCTGTAAAGTGTGACAGGTTATGCTGTTTTATATGTCTAATTATCTAATTCCAATTTAACACAAACTGAGAGAATAAAATTTTTTTCCCAAAATAAAAGTTTTGTCTTACTTCCATATTCCCAGTGCCCTTTTCTTTAGGGCTTTTAATTTAAGGTACAATAACCAGAACTAAATCAGGCATTCAAGGAAAAGGCACACCATACTTCTACACTAAATACAGCTTAATTGTTCCGTTTTTGAACCTGTCACATGGTACAATCTAATATATTCTGGGGGGCTGAAATGACCACTAGGTGGGGTGCATGGGACAGTTGTTAATGACTGCTTCATTATTTTGGCTCAGAATGTACTTTAGGACTTTTCCAAAAACACATTATCATGTAATTCTTTGACACTCATGTGCCACCCCTCTGCACTTACAACTCCGTGAAATATTTGCAATTACTTTTATGACTCAAACATTTAAAAGGGAACATAAGTAAATAATCCAAATAATACCCTTAAAAATAATCAGTTTAAGGCCAGGGAAATTAATCAAAGGGTTGGGGTACTTGTTTTACATTCTGCAGCCCTGGGTTCAATCCCTGGTACCACATGGTATCCGGACCACTATGGAATGAGACTGCCCTCCAAGAGCTGAACCAAGAATAACTGGTGAGCCCGAACTCCAATCCCCATCCCAATCAATTAAAATGAATCCCTCCTAAAGTTTAAAAGACAATTCAATTTTAAGTTCAGAAACAAAGTGCAGAACAATACACTGTCAATTTGTCAGCACTTGCAAACTCTTAGTACAATTATGAAGGAAAAAGAAAAAAGTAATTAAAAAAAAAGGTAACATCATACAAACTCGGATTAAAAGTGGGAATTAGGACCAGAGAGATAGCACGGTGGGGTAGGTTGTCTTAAATGCAGCCGCCCAAGGTTTGAGCCCCAGCTCCAAATGTGGTCCCATGGGTACTGCCAGGACCCTGGCATTGCTGGGTATGTCCCCACATCAAAAAAAAAAAAATTAAACCCACACAGTTGATATTAGATACTATAGGCTTATAGGAAGAACTCCAGTGTACTATCTTCTTCCCAGTTCAAGAAGGAAAAGTTAAAATACTGAGGTTATCTATAGTAAAGGCATTTGTGAGGTCATCTGAAGAGGGTCTTTGAGACTCTAGAGGATTACTGAGAATGTGTTGTCTTTTCAATACGAGACTGGGGGCAGGGAGATGAGTAAATTTAGCCTGATTTACTGAGGTCATTTCTGTCCGAAGAGTTGCATCCACTGTAGAATAGGCCTACCTTATTACCAGTTTTCAATTATATATTAGCCACTTATTATATGTTCAGACTCATGTAAAAAAATGTAGGGCTAGGAAATGATTTGCAAATTTCCCCCCCTGTAAATGCCAAAGTAATTTAGGTATTTTTGGTCATAAAGTCTGTCAACATTACCCAAATTTACTGTTAAAACTTCAAAAACAACAAAACGTGAGTAAGCTGAGCTTTGTTTCAATACAATTTTACTTACAAAAATTGAAATTTTAATTGCATAAAATTTTCATATGTCATAAAACAGTATTCTATTCTTCTTTTTTTCTGTTTTTGAGCCGCATTCGGTTGTGCTTTAGGACTTATTCCTGGCTCTGTGCCCAGAGATCACTCCAGGCTATATTCTGGAGACTATATATGATGATAGGGGCAGGCTGCATTCAAGGCAAGTGGCTTAACTAACCCTGTTCTATGCCTCTGGTCCCTTTTCTGATTTTTCTGTCAGCCATTTAAAAATATATGGAAACATTCTTAGGTCGCAGACCAGGCAGATATGCAGTGGGCCGGATATAGTTGTAATCCGCTCCAGGAAAAAGGAAGCCGCCTGATTATAGCTGAGGCCTCTCCTTGTTCACCAGAGATAGTATGTCTTAAGAAGATGCTACAAAGCAAAGAGACTCAAGGGTCAGGCCAAATTGTAACTCTCTATTTTAACATTCCCAAAAGGCTGTCTCCTGTCATGGCTTTGACAAAAACTACTAGAAAACCTGAGGTATCACATGATTCAAGCCAAGATTGTTTCTCTATCCAGTGGAACTAACAAACATAACGAAACTAATAAAACAAATTGGTCCTGATATTTTCCCAAGGGGGGGAAAAAAAGAGAAAATCTTTAAGGCATTAGCAACACAGTGTATAAGAAAGAGCTATTAAAGAACAAATACAGCACCAGGATAATCAGGAAGAACTGTCTCCCTCAAAAGGTGAAGTGGGAGCAGCAACAGAGATATTCGGAGAAGTTTTGCTTTCTCCTCCTAGCACTTTGCTTATATGCTGTTCTTTATCAAAAAACAGGTCTATGGACAGAAAAACACTGCAGAAAAATTTAGCAGCAGAGGGGCCAGAGAGAGAGAGAGAGAGAGAGAGAGAGAGAGAGAGAGAGAGAGAACAACAGGCAGGGGACTTGCCTCTTATAAGCTGGCCTGGATACAATCCCCAGCACTCCATATGGCCCCATGCACAACCAGGAGTGATTCCTGAGTGCAGAACCAGAAGGAAGCCCTGAGCACCGCTGTGTGTGGCCCCCAAAACAAAAATAAAAACAAAGAAATAGCAGAGGAGTAAATTAACATGATAATACTATATGCTGCATGAAATCTTCCAGCTGTGTCTTCAATTCAACTTACCTACCTTCATGCTTTATGAACTTGGGCAAGGTGATTTCCCAAGTCTCATCTTCCAGTTCAGTAAAAGATTAATCCCCCCCCTGAAAGGACTGTGGTGGGATACTGAAACAATGCATATGAAAACAAAATGTAGGACATGAAATAATAAACAAAGGGAAAAGGGAAAATTCTTTTTGCAAACTTAGGGTTAAGACATGTATGAATGTATGATCAAACCTAACTTTCTAGAAATTTTATTGTAAGCCTCAAAAGAAATCTGACACTTACCTGCTAAAATGTCCATGACTTGTCATCGCTGATGTCATTATTTCCGTACTTAGGCTTTCGGCAAAGCTGATGCCATCCTGTCCAATTCCACTATCAGCTGCCAGACTGGTACTGCTCAGCTCTCTCTCTGCTTTCTCAATCGCTTCAGCAACTATCTTCTCAGCGAGCACTACCTTCTTATCAAGATCAACATGAATTTGAGGGACATCAAGATGAAAAATTCTAGATTTCTCAAAGAAGCTGCTGTGTCTTGGATTATTCTTTGACTTACAACCAGCAAATACATCTTGTCTGAAAGGGAGCTGAGATGAGTTTCCAGTGCAATCATGCAGTTCCTTCCGGTCACAGTGCCTGCAACTCTGACTTAGAAGAGGTGACAACTTTTCTGCATAAGTGATCCTCTCTGCCAGTTTTGTGGTCTCAGACCTATGAAAAACTGTGGGTCCTAAACTTAGCTCTAAGGTGTCATCGACTACTTTCTGAGCATACTTTTCTATTGTGTGGACAATGTTCTTCCCATGACTATAGCCATTTAGGCTGCCTGTACTTTGGTAAAATCTCTGAGTATTTGAGGAAGGCTGGGGAAACTGGGAAAATTCTGACTCGGCATGAGACTCAGTATCTTCATCACACCCAGCTTTTTCATAAAGGCAAGAATCGGTTAAGGATTTGGGCAAACCAGCTACAGAAGTTGTCAGCTCTTTTTTAACATCTTTTGTTATGTTGTGAGCAAGAGAGGTGGAAAAACTGTACAGCTCCGAGTGCTCATTTCTGCGTATATCCTGAGTCCGTTCACAAGTTTGAATTTTATGAAAGCAGCCTCCATTTCTTTTACATTGTCTTTTTTTACCTACTTCCTGATGGCATTCTGTATCATTGTTGATTTTCACCTGTGAGCTTTGCACAGACAACATGTTCGAACTGCTCTTTCTTTTGGTTGTCTTAGCTGCTTCTTGCAATCCCGATTTAAGAGATCGATAAGCAAGTCTATTGGCATACTGATCCATTATTAACTCACTATTACCACCTTCCTGTTTGAGTATTTGGATAATGTGACCTGCATATTCATCGGTTACACTTTCACAGCTGGGATATTTATAGGTCAGTCCTAACATGCAAGAACTTGGTGGAAAAGAAAGAAAACATGGATCCATTTCCCTTGAAGGTGCTACACACTCAATATCTAGCTTTTCCTCTGACCGATGATCCCGGTCACTGTCACTATAACAGCTGTTCTTTGGCCTGGAAAGCATGCAACTTCTCACTTTTGCTATTTTCTCCACCTCTGTAATGACTTCTGCTGCCATATCCCCTGCAAAATTGTGCACTGTTTGTAAATTTTCATCAGAGTGATTTAAAAAAGCAGGAGATACACCTCTTTGATTTTGTACATTTAAGCAAGGGCTTCTACCTTTCGGCTCTTGAGTTATTTTATGATCTAAATGGGAAGCAGCCACTTCAGTTGCAAGAGAAATGATGTTGGTGGCCAGTGCTTCTGCAAACTGTACTTTCTCCCCTGAGTAGTCTGGCTTCATATCCCCTTCCAGCCGCTCTTCTCCTTCACTACTTTCAACTTCCTCCGAAAGAGATCGCATGAGCTTCAACATAAACTCTTCTTTTTCAATAGCATGCTGCTCATTTTCAGACAAACTACCAACAGATGAGTTGTGAGGAGTAGATGGTGGTGTAGCGGGAGCAAATTCGTTAGCCAATTCCCCCTTGAGCTTTTTTGTTAACTTCTTGATATCCCATTCAGAACTAGCCTGGGATGGTACTAGAGGAGTTGATGGAGGAGTATCCGGGATTACATTTCCATCTCTGACCTTCTGTTTATCTTCTACCTGCAAACCATCTACACATGTAAGCACTGTGGATGAGAAAGTATGTGAATGGGGGAAAGAGCTTTCCTGCCCCAAACACAAGGACTCAAGTGCTGCACTGTTCAAACTATGCTTTGTCACTGATCTGTCCTTAGCAAGTTCCTTCAAATCAAGATTCTGATTTGCCATCGTTGGGCAAAGTGGAAGTGTCTCTGAAGAAAATTTATGAACCACTGAACCTTTACATTCCGGGACACAATCCCTTTCTACTGAAAGTGATGAGCGAGTTAAATGATCTGGACCATCTGGACAGTTAGAGAACTTTTCCAAGATCAACTCTGACTCTTCTCCAGGAACAGATAAGTCTTCCTTGTGTATCAAACTTTTATCTACATTTAGAGTTACTGATTTGCTTGTATCCACGGAATGTCTAATAATAGATTCAGATAATCTATCAGCAAACATGTCCTTATTGCTAGCATCACTCCACTGCTGGTCTGCTTGATCAGAGTAGAAAGGAGAGGTGTTTCCCTTCAATATTTTAGGTAAACAATCTGTGTGCTCATCAACTGGCGTTGTAACTTTAAATGATGTCACTGACTCTAAAGATTCATTTACTACTGTATGCACCATTGCTGCAGAAAAGTTGCCAATAATCAAAGGATCACTTGCTAATTTTGAGGAGTTTTTCACTGCATTATCATCATTTCTGGTTATAAAATCATCTGGATTATTCTGTTCTGAAGGTAAACAAATATTACTCAGACAAGGTACTTCTTCTTCTTTGCTTTTCATTGTAACATGTGCATGCTGAGAATCATCATTTGAATTACTGTCATCAGAAAAGACAGCAGACCCTACCTGACATACATCAGATGAAATATGGTATGGAAGAAGGGTACTTCCTGCCAAGGGCATTGGTACAGAAGTAGCAATTCCAGAACTACAAAACAAGGCTTGCTGAACTGTGTATTCTTTTTTAGAGTCCTGCACTGGTTTTGTCAGTGTAATTGTTTGACCACTAGAAGTGGGGGGAAATGAGATGTTCTGTGTCAATGGCATGTTTTCTGCACTCACACAGTTTATATTATTTGTAGAAACACTGACAGCTGCCTTCGTTGTGAAGGCCACATCAATTTGTGACAGCTCAATAAATGCTTCCTGTATTACAGATTCGGACAAATCTTTTGCATATGACTTCACAACTTTGTCCTCATAGTCAAATGAGCAACACTGTGGAGATGCAGGGGTCGGAGGGTATGAAAACTGGCACACTTCCATGATGCCTTCAAATACAAGCTCTTCAGCAAGATCTGCAGCAAACCTTGCAACCGTATTGGTAAATATCTGCTTCTTTACATACTGTAAATCTTGTAAAGCATTCGATAAAGCCTCACTCACCAAAAAATTAGCCAGACCACTAATGGCATGCTCTCTCAGTGAAAATGCACGTTGCCTTTTCAGTTCACTGAATGCCATCTGAAAAACGGAGGATGTCAATTTGATGGCTAAGTGGCACAACGCATTGGTACATGAAGAGACTCCTTTCTGTAAGTCCTTGAAAGCACTGCCAAAACTTTTTTCCACAAGACCTGCTGCAAATTTCTGTATACTATCTTTAATCATTAAAGGTTTATTTTTAGATTTAATTTTTGGATCAAGGCTTCCACACGTAAGAGCTAGAGGCTTCTTTTCTTCCTTCTCAATATTTTCAGTGTCTGACAGTACATTTGTAGGTGGACTATGAAGAACTGAATCCAGTACTTCACATGAAAGGATATCTGCATAATCTTCATACATACAATGAGCAGTGTCATAATTTTCATGAATACCATCCCCACCAGTTTCTATTTGGCAAAAACACCCAGGAGGGCAGCCTCCCAGAGGACTAAAAGCTGAGGATCGAATAGGGCTAAACAAGTCACTGTCTTCCCCTGAAGCCTTCACTGGGCGAGGGGAATCTGGGGCATCACACATGCTACTATAAGGGGATTCTGGCTTACGAGGAGTTGGCTTTTTAACATTAGCTGGGAGAACCGGACGATCAGACTTGAATTTCTGAGGATTCATAGTAGTGGTTACAGAACAGGATTTTTCATGTTTATGTCCCTTCTTCTTGTGCGATGGCTCCCCCATGTTCGGCTCTTTTGGACAAGCAGCCTCTGAAGTTTGCTCAAGTTCATCAAACTGGTCAAAGCTATCAAAAAATTCACTGACCTCTGAGTCTGAATCTTCTATGTCATCTTTCATCACAGGAATTTTAGGGAGATCAAGTTTGGCTTTTAAGCTTTTTTGATATCCCTCTTCATCCAAGAAAATGATAGGACTTGGACTTGAACATTCTGATTCAGATGAATAGGCAGGAGAAGAAGAAAACAATGTTTTCTGGGCATCACCATCTTTACCCGTAGCTGCTGCTGATGACCTATAGAAACTCCTCTGGATCCAAGGCTCAGACACTGATGTTGTGACAGAAGCTTTCACTGAAGTCAGTTCTTTAGGTTCCAGAGTACTCTTTAGGGATACTGAGGCTTTGGGAGATGATTTCTGCTGTCCATAACTATCCAGAATCTTCACATCCTGGGTTTCTACATGATGACCAGAAATTGTCTGTGAAGCAGCATCACACTGGCTCCTTACTGCAGCAATATTTATTTCTAGAGAAGAACAAAATGGTTCAATTATTATTATTATTATATTATTTGCTTTTTTTGGGGTCACACCTGGTGATGCTCAAGGGTTACTCCTGGCTCTGCGCTTAGGAATTACCCCTGGGGTGCTCAGGGGACCACCTATGGGATGCTGGGAATCTAACCTGGGTCAGCCGCGTGCAAGGCAAATGCCCTACCCACTGTGCTATCGCTCCAGCCCCCTGAAGGGCATTTTTTTAAAAGAAATTATTTAAATTAGGGCCAGGAAAGAAGATGGCTTGATGGTAGAAAGCATGTCTTCATGCATAAGGCCCTGCTCAATCACCAGCAACACAAGCAAAATTAGTTTAAATGAATGGGAAAAAAAGTTAACCCTGCAAACACATATTGCATAGGGTCTCTCTAAAGTATGTAAGAGATTCCTCCCCAGTTACACTGGAGAACAAATGTACCTTTTCACTGAAACAGTTTTATTTTAGCCCTATGTGAGAATGATACTTTATGCATAAGGTGCTTGAATATGCTTTTGTGTATGTCTGAAACACTAATGTGGTGGGACTGTGAGCTGTACTAAATTTGAACTTATATATGTTCCAGACATTTAAGATAATGAGAAAAACAGTACTAGAGTTATGTTGTACTGACTATATAAGAACAGTAAAGGGAAAACTAAAACTAAAGTTTGATCCCTGGTACCCCATATAATCTCCCGAGTCTGCCAAGGAGTGATCCCCGAGCGTGAAGCCAGGAAGCCAGGAGCACTGCCAGGTGTGGTGCCCAAACCAAAACAACAACAACAATAATAGTAACAAAAAATTGGACCAAATTTCTAAACAAAATTCAACCAAACAAATATGTTCTAGAACTTTAAAAACCGAAGTTCAAATTCAATTTGCTATTTCAAGAGAAGTTTTATAAAAAGACTAACCCTCATTAGATGGTCTTGAAGTTTCCTCCTCTTCTAATTGTTCAAAAGCAGTAACAAAGTCGTCCTCAATGGAAGACACAGACTGGTTGGTATCATCGTCATCTTCATTAGTGGTCTCAAGCTGGCGTTTCTGATGCAAGTATGAGTCCAGTGTGTATCTTATACCAGTAGCATATTTACTTAGAAGACTAAAGATGAAATCAATTCTGAGTCTTGGCAATGTAGGTGACACTCTCATGACACAAAGCATTCCAGAATGATGATTCTTGGGAAAGAAAAAAGATGATAAATACAAGTTTAGTTTCAAATATACCTTATACATTACAGCATTCTGGAAAGAAAAACCTGGACAATACAACAGTCTCAGGAAAAAGGAAAATCAGAGAATGCATGTATCCTCAAAGACGTTTTGATTTTATATTTAGTTTTCCTTATTCTTCTTCTAGAATATTTCTCACTTCCCAATCTCTTTATCTCCTGATCTATTCCATATCCAGGTATTCAATTTCCACCTACTCGATCTCCTTAAATGTCACTGAACTTCAGTCTATTACCTTGGCAATTCTGTGCTCCTGCATGACTGTGCAGCCCTGTGCCTTTCCTTATTTAACCAGTCATCTAGCTTCCCAACACTTTACACTGCTTGAGGCAAAGCACTGGGTTCTACTCTATTGCTGTATCCTATTTTCCCAGAACTTCCAACATTATACCCCTTGTCTCCTAATCACAAAGAAAATTTTGATCCCTTCTCTTAACATCAATTCTCCTAGTATAATTTACAATGTTTACAACTTTAAGAATACTGGGGTAATATTGGAGCTAATCATGAATCCTACCCCAGTTCAATCCCTGGCACTATCTGGTCCTTCCCACACCCTCCAGGCATCACTGGGTGTAGACACAGAGGCCCCAAGGACACTTCCAGGGTGTGGAACTGCAGGGTGCAAGCAGCATCATGTCCTTGGACCCTAACTAAACTATCACTGGTCAGGTCCCTAGGCTCAATACCTACTGCTTGGGAGGCCACTCACAAAAATAAATAAATACATAAATAAATAAATAAATAAAAGCTGCCATATTTTTCATGAAGATCTCCAAATAAATATATACTGACAAATGACTTAATATTCAAAAAGCTAGAACTCAATGTAATAGAAACTCAACTCTTTTACTCTGGTAAACCAGAGTAAATATAAAGAATGCAACAAGAAAATGAAGCAAACAGTTTTACTTTTATCTGTAAATAACATTTACATGTTTTGAGCTTGTTAAAAGAGAAAAGATTCCTATAGCTAATACAAAGGAAGTTCAAGAAACAGAAATAAACTTTTTCAAGGGAAATGAATGTGTATTTGCAAACATGGTAAAAAAAAATCTAACTTAAAGCTATTACCAAATTATTATGTTCTCCAGTGATTTTTAAAGCTTTCATGAGTTAGGTTTCTTATGGCTCATTCATAGTATAGAACTGTCATACAGGCATAAACATGTACATACATGGTAGATGTAGAGATATACATACACATATACACACATATACATATACAATATACATACACTGTGTGTGTGTATATATGTGTATATATACATACATATACAAACTACAATACTGCAAGCATGAGATCTAAGCTGCATTAACCAAAGTTGAAAATGTGCCAGTCACTGAGCCTGACTAGGGATGGGAGGAACTGGTGGAGGAAGTCAACACTGGCGGTAGAATCGATGTTGGAATACTGAAACACAACTATGAAGAACTATTAAATCACTATGTAAATCACAGTGCCTTAGTACTTAATTTTTAAAAAAAATTTAAAAGGAACATCATCTAAGCATTTAATTGTCTAATACTCTTGATCAAATATCACTGTAAAATTTTCCCCAAAACATTCATTAGGTAGAAAGCATAAAATTAGGGGCTAGAGCGATGGCACAGTGGGTATGGCATTTGCCTTGGAAGTGGCTAACCTGGGTTTGATCCCCAGCATCCCATATGGTCTTCGAGTCCTGCCAGGAGTAATTTCTAGGGGCAGAACCCTGAGTAAGCTCTGAGCACTGCCAGATTTGGAGCGAAAACAAAACAAAAAAACCCCCAACAATAAAAGAATAAATAAAAAAACATAATATTTACCTGGTTTAGAGGGTCACTGTTCATATCTGATGATTTATTTATATCCTTCATACAGATAATTTCATTTTCATTTAGGCTGCAGAAGTGCAGTGAATTCAGAAGAGCTGGAAGTTCTAAAGAAACAGCAGCCAAATCCTAAGTTAAAACAATAACACAATTAAGAACACCACAGAATTTTGTTAAGGTTCCTATATATGATGTGGGTCTACCCTAAAAAACCTAAAATTGGTTGAAACATTTTCTGGTTCACAGGGATTAACACATGCAGGTTATCATGCACAAAATTTTTAACTCAAAAATAAAGGCACTTTTTAAATATCTTAGTACTGGCTGTTTTCTTTTAAACAGATTAATATCAAACTATGAAAATAATTTTTAAATGTGAACAATTAGGCACTTGAAAGCTTCTAACTGCAAATGTCAGCCTGCAGTGTTTAGGTTTAACTATGAAACATTTCATGCAGGTTTTGTAGGCACAGAGCAGTATTTTTTCAAAGCTGAGGATTTATACTTGCTGACCCATTCTAAACACATTTATGCCAATAACATTTAAAGAGGAAGTAGGGTTTGAGATAAATACTTGGAAATGCTTTTCTCAGTTTTAAAAGTATACATACTCTGAGGAAAATTCTCTGGCGCCTTCTGTCTAAACGACTTGTAACTTTAAGCAAAGGCCCAATGAATACACAGAGCACAGCTTTCATTTTAGTCGGCATTATTCATAAAGAACTGAGGAGTGTTATTTCTTCCCCATGAGAAGACACTTGCCTGACACAGAAAGAAACATGGCTTTTTTCCATTTTGAACAAGTTGGCCGACCACGCACTTGAACTATTCCGTGAGTAACTGTGAAGCTTTTCTTTGCCAATCTTTGTCTTTTTTTTATCAGTCCCTCTGTTACATCTGCCTAGATCAAACAGGCTCAAATGTTCCTACTGGCTAACTGTTGCTTTATATAGATGTTACCTTTTAAAATGAACTCTATCTTATTTTTAAGATAATAATCTATTGAATAAATCAGATTATTGAAACTATCAAAATTTTAAAAAGCAGTCTTAGCTTCTACACTATGCACTGAATGGAGACACAGTTTGCCTGAGGTTGGTAACCATCTCAGATAAGTGACTTTTGTGGTCGTCTAACTTCAAACTGCTTTCTATAACAACACTCAAGTGAAAATGCTGAAAGTGAAACTATTCTAAACACAAAACTGCTTTCAAGTGTCATCTTTTAACTTTATAGAGAAATGACACCAGACGACCTTAGTTAAAATATTGGCTGAATGAGGTCATTTTTTCATGTATAAATTTGTAAATTTCACACATAAATTTTCAGTTCTTTTCAGTTCAACAAATCAATCTTACCTGAATGTGAGCAGCATCTGTCTCTTCATTAAAACCTAAAAATGTGACCTGAATAAAAAAAGGAATAAAGCTCCATTAATTTGATTTTTTAACATGTTTCCTCAATAGACTGCTGACAGAGCTGAAAAATAAAAGTATGTAACACCATGAAATACTGTTCTGACAGGTTGTTTTTTTCAAAGATGATCACCAATGTTTTTCAACAGATTTGGCTCCATAATACAGTATCTCATATATATAAAACCACACCTCTCCAATACCCCAACTACCCCATCTCAACTACACATATAAAAATTCTCCCATATCTCATTCCAGTAATATTTCACTCCCCCTTCAAAAATTTCCAATTTTCCCAATGCAAAATCTAAAGTGAGGCACCCAAGCTTTGAGATAGCTGATGCCTTCAACATTTCCTCCATTTTATTCACAAACCTGGATCTCCTTTCAGGTGTATATTATGTCTGGGATGTTTGCGACTATGGGCTTCATAGCACAGTCCTAGCAGAGATCCTCAACATGGATCTCTAATCTTGGAATGGAACATTCATATCCCTAGATACAAATTAATTTCAATAGACAAGTCTCAACTTTAATGTTTTCAGCAAGGTCTTCCTTAGCAGTGTCAACTCCTCATCAGTTCTCTGAGGTGCCATCACTTCCTTCTTTCATTGCCCTTATGTAGAGATTATTTTGCAGAAGTTCATATAAATTAAACTTTCAAACAATAATTAATGGTTTGAAGACTCATCACACTCTTAAGTAAAAGGTATAGAAAAACAGTACAGTGTGTGCACACAATTTTAAAAAATAAAAGTGTCGAAAATAATACTGAGTAAAAACTAAACCAATCTACAACTCTAGATGATGGCATTGTAAGTGATAATACTTTTCCTCCCCTTTTCCTGTAATTCACAGGATCAATAATAGTTCATTTTTTATGCTGTCAATGATTATTTTTCACAAGGTCTATAACTTAAAAAGAACTGTCATAATTTAGTATAATTTATAATAAAAATTGTAATAATTTTTATAATACAAATTTTATCATTTGTATCTTTTACATCACAGGAAAAAACTTCCACTTGAAGCTAGTCTAAACTATTAAGTCAGTACTAGGACCAAAAAGTACAAAATACTTAAATGATAGTACTGTGAATAATCAATTCCTAATAATTAAGGAAAACAGAGCGGCAGAATAGTGGGGAGGGCGTTTGCCTTGCACGCGATTGACCTGGGTTCAATCCCGGCATTACATAGAGACCCCCAAGCACCATCAGGAGTGATTCCTGAGTGTAGAGCCAGGAATAACTTCGGAACATCATTGGGTGTGGCCCAAACAGAAAAAAAAATTAAGAAAAGCAGCATATATAAGCATGTAAGCAACATTCAATATAATTCTAATGATTCAGGATCTTAAATTCCCCAGGATCTTTTTGTTGTTGTTGTTGTTGTTTGCTGTTGTTATTGTTAGTTTGCTTTGGGGCCCGCACTCGACAGTCGTTGTGCTCAGGGATCACTTCTGAGGGACGATATGTGGTTCAAGAGATCAAACAGGGTCAGCCACATGCAAGGCAAGTGCCCTACTTGCTAGACTATCACTTCAGCCTTTCCCTTCTGATTATGGTTATTACCTCACAGAAAAGTTAGTTAACCCCTAGATGCCTAGGTAAGCTATTAATCACCAGGAGTCTGCCACCCCCCCCCACCCCCGCCATTGAATAAACTCAAGGCAAGGAAACCCTTTGTTCACAGCTACAAGGGGTTGGGGTTTTTTGGTGAAGCAAAATAGTTTTTACTGAAACAAAATTTAGAGAAACTTGAAAGGAAAGAGAGGGAGGGAGAGAGGAAAGAGGAGAGGAAGAGGGAGAGGGAGGGAGAGGGGGGAGGGGGAGGGTGGAGAGGAGGGTGGAGAGAAGAGAGAGTGAGAGCAAGAGCGAGAGACAGAGACAGACGTGTTCAAGAGTAAATACAGGCTTGAAAAAGCAAGCATACCATTACAAGATTGAAGAACCCTGACTTATGGAACGTAAATGAGAATGCCTAGGATATCAGAAGCTCTCAATGACAGAGACAAACTTCCCCCCTTTCCTTAAAATATACTTGTGATATGTATAGTCTAAAGAGAGAGAAATTCCTTCTATTCTTTAACATTTCCTTTTACTGATACTTAGAAGAAAACAAGCTGACATGAGATTTTGAAGATGCCAACAGTTTTATATTTTCCCTTGAGCAAAGAAAGCCTCCTCACAGGGGCTGGAGTGATAGCACAGTGGGTAGGGCATTTGCCTTACATGTGACCGACCCGGGTTCAATTCCCAGCATCCCATATGGTCCCCCGAGCACCGCCAGGCGTAATTCCTGAATGCATGAGACAGAAGTAACCCCTGTGCAATGCCGGGTGTGACCCAAAAAGAAAGAAAAAAAGAAAAGAAAAAGAAAGCCTCCCCACAGAATATGGGCTCAGAAAAGCACTACTAAGAAACTGGAGAAATATGGGCTGGTAAACTGAGTACAAGGCAAAGGAAACTAGCTATATTTGGAAACATCTGAGATCAGGAGTATCTCAGTTTTGCTAAAACTGCAAAAAGGAGTACCAAAGAAGAAAACTGAGTTATAGAAATTGCTTTGGCAATAGAAAAGAGGTTCAAATCTCAGAATACTTCAGGCCCAAAAGGTATGCTCATACTATGGAACTATCTCAAATGCAGTTTTTTAAGAAAAATGAAGGAAAAGTCTCTCCCAAAATAATAATGATTAAAAAGAATCATTAGAGTTCTCATTTCAAGCAAAAATATTAATGTATTATCAATTTTAAGCTTCAACAACTAATAATTTCTTATATTTGATACACAAAAGTATTAATGGACTACAGTTTTACTGTAGAAAAAAGATTCTACTGCTTTCTTATAGAATAATTTCAAACAAAGACTGGAAACACTGACAGAGGGAAAAAATAAATAGGTGAGGAGGGAAACCATCATTAACAGTATTATGAATAAGAGAACCACAACCAATACAAAAATGTTTTAAAAAATAATGGCTGTGGGCTAAATTACATGTCATTATAATACACTAATACAAGGATCTCAACTGGTATTTAAAACAATATACATTGTTGTATATATATTACATATATATATATATTACATATATTACTATGCAAAAATTTGAACAATTTTATTTGCTTTTGGTTTTTGAGCCACACCCAGTGATGCTCAAGGGTTACTCCTTGCTCTGTACTCAGAGAACACGCCTTGGAGGGCTTAGGGACCATATGGGGTACTGAAATTGAACCCCAGTCAACAGCATGCAAAGTAAACACCCTATCTGCTGTACTACAGTTCCAGCCTTGAAATTTTAACAATTTTTAAAACAGATCATGCAATTCTACAATGATGCAAGAAAAGTGATAGAAGATAACTGAAACAGCTTAAAGAGCTGGAGCACATGCTTGGCATGCACTAGACTCGAGTTTGGTTTCATGCACTTCACAGCCCCCTCACACCACTGAGTACAGTTCGTGTGAGGCTTCAACAACTAATAATTCCCTCCACCAATGCACAGATAGGAGAGCAGCACCACAGCCCTGGGCAGGAGCACTAAGCAGTCAGGTCCCCAGAGCCAAATAGAGAACCTCTAGGAGTGGTCAGTGGGGCTCTGGCACTGCTCCGAAGTCCCCAAGGTGGGGAATAAGGCAAGAAAACACACTGTGGTTCAGCAGTAAAGGGGTGAGATGGGAATGAGTCAAACCTCAGATAACTTGGCATGTTCATCCTGCTTTAAACAGTCCTCTGTTGATATGCTGCATAGTTCCTTCTCACTCTGTAGTAATGATTTCACAGACTGAAACACATCTTCACTGAAGCTCTGAAAATTAAAAACAAACAAACAAACAAAGCCCTTAATTTCATTGTAAGACAAGGTAAATGATGCTATAAATATTCTAGATTTATTTTTATTTATTGAATGGGGGGAGTGGGGCTTGGTTTTGAGGACACACACAGCAATTACTTACTTCTGGCTCTGCACTTGGGGATCACCACATGTGGTGCTGGAGATCAAACCCAGGTCAACTGCATGGAAGGCAAACACTCTACCCACTGTACTATTGCGCTGGCCCTGGCTTTCTTTAAAGAATAACTAATTGCTATTCATTTTGCATCTTTAGATTTATGCATAACTCTATTCCGCTGAAAAGAAAGAAGGAACAGCTAGAGTTTTACAATGCTTGGAACACATACACCAGAGTCCAGGCATTCAACCAGGACAGCACAAGACCCTCAGGTTCACTCATTTTCAGCTTACACTAAAATCCAACAGATGGCACTATTCGTGCCCAAGTCAGCTGCAAAGCAGAATGAACAATTCATATTAGGAGTAAGATGATGCAGAAGCTACAATTAGGCAGGCTAGCAACTGTGATCAGTAATTAATTCTATAACAAAGTGAGAACAAAAACCAAATTAAGTCTTTATAGCTAACTCCTAGTTTATATACGAGTAGGGCATCTGCCTTGCACGTGGCTGACCCGGGTTCAATTCCTCCATCCCTCTCGGAGAGCCTGGCAAGCTACCGAGAGTATCCCGCCTGCACGGCAGAGCCTGGCAAGTACCCGTGGCATATTTGATACGTCAAAAACAGTAACAAGTCTCACAATGCAGACATTACTAGTGCACGCTCGAGCAATGACCAATGGGAGGACAGTGCTATGGTGCAAATAAAAAATAAATAGCTTCGAAACAATCAGACATAAGAAACAATCCAGGGGGCGATAGCACAGTGGGTAGGGCGTTTGCACGCGGCCAACCCAGGTTCAATCTCCGGCATCCCATATAGTCCTCCAGCACCGCCAGGAGTAATTCCTGAGTGAAGAGCCGGGAATAATCCCTGAGCATCGCTGGGTGTGAGCCCAAAACCAAAAAAAAAAAAAAAATTCCAGAATGCAGATCACTGCAACAGAAATAAGAAATAGCTTATTACACATCACCTCAGAGGCATGGGGGGAGATTGGGGGATGAGGGGAAGGGGGGCACTTTAAAAAAAAGGTAGATCTTTTTTTTTCCAAAAAAAGGGGATGGATCATAGGTCAAACTCTGGCCTTTTCTATTCAAGAAAAGAAGTCAGTCATGAATTTAAGAAAAAGAATAGAGCAACAAGAGACTCTTTTAGTACAAAAGAAATATAAACTAGTCATAACTATCAAATGCAACTAACAAACTAGAAGCCTGGACTGAACCTTAAATGGCGATGGGGCATGAGGATTATGAAAGACATTGTAGTTGTAAAAAATAGAATCTTGATATGGCTGAGTATTAGAAAGTAGGGAATGACATTAATAGGTGGAATTTAATAATAACAGATGGAACAGTAACAGTAATAGATGTGTTGTCCTCCTGGTGTTCATCAATTTGCTCGAGTGGGCCCAGTAACGTCTCCATTTTTTTTAGACTTGTTGTTACTGTTATTTGGCATACTGAACACATCACGGATGGCTTGCCAGACTTTGCCGTGTGGGCGAGATACTCTCGGTAGCTTGCTGGGCTCTCTGAGAGGGGTGGAAGAATTGAACTCAGGTTGGCCGCGTGCATGGCAAATGCCCTAACCACTATGTTATCTCTCCAGCCCAGTCTCAAGAATATACTGGTAAATTCAAATTAAACAGGTATTCGATACTGTGCTTGAAGAACATGGGTCATTAGCACACTATAATATTTTACTTTACCCAAGTTTAAAGGCATCCTGTACCTTAGATTGGTGACAGCTGACAGTAAATTTTGTTCATTATCTAGCTTTCTAAAGAAAGGAGCAACTAAGTAAAAATGTAGGCCTGCCTACACACTCACAAGAAAACAAAAAACAAACAGAATTTGGAAAAATGAGCCAGAAGACAGGAGTTATAAAAATGATAAAACTAAAGTCAAAGGGCACTTTTTAACATGTAAGCACAGGTCAACAGTATCACATAGGGGCCAATTAGATAGCACAGGGGGTGCTTGCCTTGCACGCAGTGGACTCCAGTTGTATCCATGCAACAACAGGAGCACCCCCTGAGCACAAAGCCAGGATTACCCCAGAGAACTACCACCAGGAGTGCACCCCTCCAAAAGCAAAAATAAATGTCATATAAAACAGAAGAGGAAGCTAAGAAAAGGTTTGACGAAGACAGCTAACCTTCTTGCTGTCCTATTCTCTCCTACTTCTGTTAATTCATGACCACAGTTTAAGACAAAAATGTCATTGACAGTATTACAGGAAAAGGAAAATGAGGGGTTTTCTTCTTAAGATTACAAAGATAACAGTAGAGAAGACACTTTTTTGCATGTGGCTGACCTGGTTCAGTCTCCAGCATCCCACACCCCCCACCCAACTCCACCCCCAGCACTGCCAAAATAGTAATTCCCAAGTGTAGAGTCAGGAATAACCTGAGTATTGCCATGTATGGCCCCAAAACAAAAACAAATACAAGGAAGAACGAGGAATGATATTGACTTTTCCCACTATTAAATATCCCTAATCTAGGACCTGGCTATAATCAATGATCAAACATACATTACCGAATGAGGTAATATTTTGAAATAAAGCTAACGATTTTTAAAAGAAAAGAAAAGGAAAATTATCAGCTGAGAAGAAATGGGAAGGCACTGCACTATTTAGGAAATAAGGATCATTACCTACATTATTTCATATAACTATTTTTATTTTTGCCAATTTTTATAGCTTTTCAAGGTAAATTTCAATGCAATTCATTTAAAAACACAAAAACTCCAAAGCTGCTTAAGTTCAAAATGAAAAATCATTATTTTTATTGTAATGAGTGAAAAACAGGAACCTGCTATAATGAATAAACTTACTTTTCTGACAGATGCCCTGATCTTCATACGTCTGTTTCTGAAGGCCTGGAAAGATGCCATAACTAGACTGCTGTTGTATATGTAATCCAGGAAAAGTTAATCCATGAAACACCTTTAAAAAAGAAAAATGGTATTAATTTTAGTGATTCAAGTATAAAATAAACATTCTGCACCATAAGTGTTACTTAGCAGCCCCAGATAAAGATCTGGTCCCTGCAGTAGATTACTGGCGCTGGGCCAACACAGGTGGGAATAGGTTTCGTTCCTTGGTCTGTTCCCTCTGGTGGCCCGGTGGCTGCCATCCTCCAGAGGCCACTTGGACAGTCTGGGCCCACAGTGACGAGACACGCAGGGCCTCTCGGGATGGGGGTGGAGCCGGCCCTTTCCTCCCCACCACAATGAGACCCCAAGTCGTCGCCCATGAATGGCCTCTCTGGCTCCTCATCAAGCTGCTTTAACAGCCATGATCCCAGAGACTCAGAAACAAACCTCGGAACCCAGTGGCTTTTGGCAGAAATGTGTCCAGACCCCACAGTAGGTTACTGTTGCCGGGCCACCCCATGGGGGAAAGGGTGTTGTCCCTCCACCTGCTCCCCCTAGGTGGCTCAGTGGCCGCCATCCTCCAGAGGCTACTGGACAGTCAGGTTTGGGCCCTCAGTGACGAGACATGTGGGGCCTCATGGGATGGGGGTGGAGCCAGCCCTTTCCTCCCAGTCCCAACGAGAGGGAGAAATGCTAATGAATTGCCTTAAGGTTTTAACAATGTTTTTAATAAAATAACTCAAAGAGCTGGAATCAACTTGATTGTTATCTAATAAATATGATCATTTGTTCCTGATAACTTGCCCATTCACTCTAAGTCTATTTGCAGTAAATGCTGTGGATACAGAGGTTAAGAGCCTGTCAAAGGAAATGTTTCATTAATAGAAAAGAAGTAAAACCTGAATTCTAAAAAAACTAAAATCTGAACCAGTACAGATTTAAGAAATAGTCAAATAGGTTCAATCAAACTAGCCTTAGCAGGAAATACTTAATTGAAGCTTTAAAAATATTTGACTGATATAAACGTATCCTATTAGATTGACACACAAAACCAAACAGTACTTATCAGAACTGAAAAAAAAAAAACACCTAAATTAATTTTGGTGTTTTAATTTTGTACTCTTTCACCATAGAGATAGAACTGGAGTGTGTGTTGCATATACACATGCAATATAATTTAGAGATTTCCAGAATTCTATTTTTTTGACAAAGAGCTAAATATAATTTTCTTTCTGAACAAAGGTAAGCCGTAAATTAAGGATTAAGGCATCTCTTTAATAATAAAATTTGACCAATGACTGTAACTGATCTGAGAGACAGGCAAGGTTGTTCCCAAGAGTATAAGAATAAGAGACCCCAGGACTCAGAATGTCCCAATCTCAAAAGAAAAATACTTTATAGGAGGACCTCTGGAAACTCTAAAACATAGGTAAGGTCTGCAGAGATAGTTCAAAAGGGCAGATGACATGCCTTATATGTTTGAGGTCCTGAGTTTGATGCCTGACACTACACGACTTCCTTCTAGTGCTTCTCAGTATAGCCCTGGTGGTCCCCCAAGCATCAGCAAGGTGACCCTTGTGATCCCAGTACTACCAGGCCCTACAGGAACTGATCACCTTCATGGCCTGTCTGCCAATATACAGAACAGTGCCAGAAGTGGCTCTCATGCCCTAGAACGGTTCTGGTGAACCCCTTCCCAGCTAAAGTAAATTAATAAATAAGGGGGAGAAAACCTATGGAGTAAAATTATCAAAAGGATCAGACTTCTTAAAACAAGGTGTAAGTATGAAGGTTTTTTTTTTTTAATTTTACTTTAAGCACTGTGGTTTACAATTTGACAGGCAGGGTTTCATGCAAAAGAAAACAAAATTCCTACACCACACCTTTCATTAGTGTCAGTTTCCCTCCACCATGTCCTAGTGCCATCCCCCTTACACCCCAGACCCATGAAGGTCATATGCTTCCTTTAATGATCAAGACTAGTTCTCAATTTCTGTTGTCTTTGAGTCTTTGTCCTTTACTGTGTTACTTTATATGCCATGTAAGGAGATCATTAAGTACAAAGGTTTATTTGTAAGGTTAGAGTAAGAAATTAGCCTTTCATTTCCCCCAGGCTTGTTCTTTTTTTCCCCACAGTTCTCTTCAATTGCCAGAAACCCTCAGAGGCAGATTTGCCTCTAAATTCACATTAAATCATACCACACTGAGATCCATACGGTTCCTGAAGGGGTTCCAGAAAAACAAAACTCTCAACTCTGCTCCTGAGTAAGCGAGCAGCAACTTTCCGGAGAGCAATCTGATGATGCATGTCAATAGCACGAAAATATTCCTACCCTATGACACAGCAATTCTACTTCTGGGAATTCAACAAAGGAAATGAATGATCCGGCAGCCTCTGGGGTTCCTTCTAACCAGATTGTTTTTAACGCAATGAAAAGTCTGCTGAAAAAGTTAATCCTTAGGACAGGCGGAGCAATATTCCAGTTTTACAGTGAGAAAAACTGAGGCAAAGGGAGTTAAGTGTGGACTACAAGGTAAACAGCAAGCTGAGATCCAAATTAAAAGTCTTCAAACTTCAGGTCCCAGGCTCTGAACAACTCCTTTGAACAAGATGAAGGTTTGGAAAGCAGTTAATCACACTTTATGACTGAGAGTTCTAGATATGCAGCATTACAGATGCCAGAAACAGGTTGGCAGTGAACAACCTGGAACACACCCATGCACAATGATAGGGGGGAAGACATTAGAAACAATGGAAAGAGGGAAGCACTGCAAGCAAAGTAGCTTTTATTTCTGGCTGCTAACCTTGCTCCAAAGGCTGGAAAAAGATGGGAGCTGGGAAATGAGGAAGTACCTCTGAGGTGTTGACCAAGAGCAAAGTCAATAAGAGCAAAGATTAAATAGCAACTCACAGGAGGCTCCAGCAGGAAAGAAACTGACCAACTACCTAGATGAACTCTTCAAAGCTTTGAAGTCATATCCCTTAAGCAGAAGAAACACTTATAAGGAAACTGCAGGGGGAGGCTGGGGGCTTCATGACAAAGTCTAGGATTTGACATCTCTCACTTCTCCAAATCACTTTACCTACAATATTTCTGAATGGCACACTTAGAATAATCTTATGCAAAGCTATAAAATAAAAAAGAATGCAACATTTAGAAACCATTTTTTTGAAATACACTAAAGACAAAACATAATCATACCACCAAAAACTAGTATTTCTCTATTTTCAGAGTATACAAACAAGAAAGAAACTGCATGTAATTCTACATTTACATCTCACTTTCACGAAAAAAAAGCACATTATGCAATATCACTATCACTTAATACTTAAATTACAACATAAGTAAAAATAATTCTCAAAAAATCTATCAACGAGTCTCTCTGTAACAGTCTATAACAGTGAGTCCATTATGAAAATATGACTCATACTTCTGATAAAGCAGAGAAATAAGAACCATTGGAATCAATGTAAAGCTAGATGGAAGATAGAGTAATCAACACGATTTATTAAGGGTTCTTTTTTCAGTAATTAAGAGACATTGTAGGTTTAGACAGATTTTATAAGGCAGGCAAAAATAAGGTATTTATTTTCCCCAAGAAAACCTTTCGGTCACGGTAATAGTTTCACTTAATGCTATTTTGCTTCTGCAACTAATTCTGAGGGGATAAACAACACCCTAAGCAGCAAATAACAGTTTTTCTCTATAGTCAAATAAAAGCATCCCTCAATATTTTTCTTTCATTTATTTTTTCTGCGTGTGTATGTGCTGCCAGAAATTAAACCCAAGGTCTCACACATGCATGTGCTCCACTTCGGAACCAAATCCCTGGTCTAGATTCACTTTTAAGAAAGCAGATCAGAGGTAAGAAAGTACAGATGGACAAGGCACATAACTGAGAAGTGAGCATTCTTCTAGGGCTGAATAATGAAAGAGAATACAAAAACAATGGCATTAAGAAAAAAAAATCCTCTTAAAGGCAGGGGAAAAGCTGAATAAACCATGCAAAAAACACTGAAACACAAAGGAAGTTTTAAGAACCTAATATGCAAAAAGAACAGTAAAGAAACTATAGAAAGAGAAAACAAAGATATGGAACATTCTGACAAATTATACCTATCCTTTGATCCTGCAATTTTAACTTCTTAAAAGTTATCCTGTATATGTATCTGCACAAAATAAAACCATATGCATAGAATATTCACTAAAACCAAGAGATAAAAACTGAAATAATCTAAAAGTTCGCCAACTCAAATAAATTATAGTAAACTAAAGTAAAGTAAAGGCCCTCCCGTTGTTCATCGATTTGCTCAAGCGGGCCCAGTAACGTCTCCATTGGAGACTTTGTTGTTACTGTGTTTGGCATATCGAATACGTCACGGGGAGCTTGCCAGGCTCTGCCGTTCGGGCGAGATGCTCTCGGTAGCTTGCCGGGCTCTCTGAGAGGGGCAGAGGAATCGAACTCGGGTCGGCCATGCTGGCTACGTGCAAGGCAAACGCCCTACCGCTGTGCTATCGCTGCAGCCCCAAATAAATTATATGGCATGATTATTAGACAGCTGCTAGAAAGAGATTAATGGCAGAGCCTGGCAAGCTACCCGTGATGTATTCGATATGCCAAACATAGTAACACCAAAGTCTCCAATGGAGACGTTACTGGGACCGCTTGAGCAAATCGATGAACAATGGGAGGACAGTGACAGTGACATAATGATGTGTGGCCACAAAAACATTAAATAAGTTATAGAACAGCATGCTCCCTATTGACTATTTTAAAATACCATCATATACACAGCAATACATTATATACAAAACTTTCATTACATACACAGTTGACACACTTGTCATTTGGACATAATCTCCAAAAATTCCCTCAAATCTACCCTTCATCTCCAAAGCAGAAATGCTAACCCCTTATGGATCAGTTCAAAGACCTCCTTCCTTAAAGAAGGCATGGCCATCTTCTACCCCTTTTTATCCAAATAGTAGTCACCTCCTTATATTTCCAATGATGTTTGTCTTTCCTTGCTGTTTTCCTGTTTTTGGTTTTTGAGCCGTATCTGGTGGT